ACTCTGACTGCTAACCTCCATGAGTGGCCTTTTTTGATGTGCGATCGCCGCTACACAGATATTTCACAAGTTAACATCTCACTGACTTGCTTTCACTTCTTGAAAATGATTCTTTCAGCTGTATCTTACATCCTTGATCAAAACATTTGCATCAGTCTTCATTGTATACTTTTAATAAAGATGCTGTAAAAAAAACAAAAACGTACCCAGAATTCCTCCACAGGGATTTTGGGTTTCTCTCCAGAGCAGCCAGGCCAAAGCGCTCCTCTGATGGGCCAGGAGAGTCACCTGAATAACCAATCACAATAAAACAATGTCATAAGAGTAACATGATGGACCAATTATTGTTATAAAAGCTGAGAAGTGCATTGTCTGGGTGTGGGTCCACATACTTTATAGAGCATTGTATATTGAAAAAACTGTCCAAATGATATAATAAATACATAAATCCCTAAGTCTCATTGTTGGTATGAGATGTTCTGAGTGAAGGGCTGATGTAAAACTGAAAGAGTGTGTCACCTTGATGCCCTTGGGGTCAGGGACCTCGGCCTCAGGGTCGGGGCAGGACTCCAGGGATTTGTGGAGATGGTCGGTGGCCTCGCAGGTCGCATTTTTTACCGCTAGTAGACGGTTGTTAGTCATCCTGCCACCATAAAAGGACTGAACCTCTGACATCCATGAAGACAAAGATGACAGAAACAAGGTGTTTGCATGAGAGATACAAGAAAAACTGTGTGGGAGGAAATAAATGTAGAGAAAAGGAGCCAGATTTTCAGAATACACAAGGTTAATGCTTTAAAAAGGTCCCCTATTATACTGTTTTTCATCAATATATTATAGGTCTCAGATACAAACATGCCAAGTGATTGGCTCCAAACACCAAACAGATCATTGCAGCGTCCCATAATCCCCTCTGTTTCAGCCCTGTTTCAAAAGTGCTGATTCTCTGTCTGTTACTTTAGATGAAAATAAGGAGCCCCTCCCCACGCCCCTCTGAGAGATATTTGGTTAAAAAGAACACAATGGTGCTCTAGGAGGAGATTCAGGTGATAAGGTGGAGGGGGGGGGGGTTACCTTGGTTGGTGATTGGCTAATGGTTACACAAGCCAAAACATCGTTATGACATCATAAAGTGGCCAAAATCTGATCAGCTCATTTTCAGACAGGTCTTTATATAAATGGATCAGGACAAAAAGTCAACCTACCTCCATGCATCTGGGGGTGACCCTGGCTCAGCTGGAGCCCCAGGGAGCTGCCAGAGGCCCCGTGTTGGGACAGGCCCGGGGCGGGGGGGGCGGGGAGCAGGATGGTGCCCCCCTGCCGGGCGAATGGGTTCACCTGGCTGCTAATTGGACAAGCATCCGCACTTTTATGTCCAGCCTCGGCCTCTGAAAAAATACATTTCAGTTCCAGGGGTTAGAAACTATAAAACCATATTTATCAGAAAAAAAGCGTATTGTTTGGTAAAAAAAGCGGTATTTTTATAAACATTATATATATTTATATTATTCCTAGTGTACAGGGAGTGAGTTACCAGGCTGAGAAGCAGCAGCGAGGCTCATGGACTCCAGGGCGTCCTCCAGCTCTTTCACCTGAGTCCTCAGCCTCTCCCCTTTATCAGGCAGAGCCGCCAGATTCACCACAGACAGAGTCGCCTTAGGAGGAAGATAGGAGGAAGATGATGGGTCAGAGGACAGACGGACAAAATGTGATACATATAAAAGATGCAACCCTAGGACAAAAACTGTGATTCATTTGTTTGAAAGCCATAGAATCAAGTTCACAAATTCAACTCTTGTCCCCTATTTTTGAAGGTTTTGCAGTTGTTATCTGTAGTACTAAATACTGAAGACCGTGCCCACTTAAATATTTCAACGATAAATCAGTATTTGCTGGTCTAGGTTATAGGTGATTAAAAGAATGTTTCCCTGTCTAGAGAGTCAGAGATACTGTTCCTTCAATCATACCAACAAAATATAACATTATTTATGCAGCACTTAGAAAAATAGTAACCCAATTGCAAGTGGTAAACAAAACCAAGGATGTTACGAGCAGTAAAATGTGAATACAAAACAAAATAGCCTCAATTAAAACCATCTCTAAGTCTTTCCTAGGGAGGGTGCATCTAGTATGGCTTACCTTTTTCTGTTGGAGTTGAGCAGTGAGCAGGCTGTGAAGCCCTTTAGGAACTTCCTGTTGACCTTTGACCTTAGGCTGGAAGCCAGCGAAGGTGGTCAGGGTCTTTTGAACTGCAGCAACAGGAGATTTCTGAGTCGCAGGTTTCACTGACACCAACACGACATCATCATCATCATCATCATCATCTTCATCATCATCTGGTTGTGTTGGTTTGGTAGATGTGGGGTTCCTGGTGTTATCAGAGTCACTGGACACCGGGGTGATTTGACTAGATATAGGTTTAGAAACGGTCTCTTTTACAGTAGGCTTGGTTTGTTCCACCAGAGAGGCTTTACCCTTGTTTGGATGCTGGGGTGACTCCTTAAGAGGATCTTGTAAAGTTGTATGTACCTTCTGGGGGTGAGCACCCTTAACATTGGAGGTAGAAACTGTTTCTTCTGTTTCTCCTTGCTTTGGGTGGCGCTCTTTAGTCTTGTCTTGCACCTTATCTGTATTATTTTCCGCACCGTTTGCTTCCGAACTGTTTCTCTCCTCATCGGAAACTCTCTTCTTTACCTTCATCCCCGGTGGCAGTGGTTTACCTCGGTAAGAATCCTCTTGATTCACCTTTTCTCCAGCCACCTCCACATTTTCTTTCTGAAAGCTCTCTCTTCCCTCAGCCTTGTGACTTGGCTTACCATCTTTCTCCTCTCTTCTTTTCTCTTCATCTCCCCCCTGATGCATCCTTCTCCACTCAGAGTCCTTGTCCGTCTTGCCACCGGCTTTAAAGGGGTTTAGGACGGGTGGCAGACAAGAGGGCTGAAGCTGGGTGTAAGATAGAGGGTTTCTCTTATCTTTCTCTGGCTGCAATGATGGAAGACAACATATATATATTTTTTTTAGATTGGGAATGAGATGATTGTATAGTCGGTGATTTAATTTTCCCCATGTCCAGTTATATCTCCTTGCTCTAGCATATGTGGTCTCTTTGGAAATCAATACAACATACATTTTGAACATAAGTGTGTCAATGGTGTGTATGGTGTAATCTTACAGCAGTCCAAGGCACATTTCCACACCACTTCTGGCCTGCCTTTTTGCCATCAATGCACCTGTAGAACAACCTGGAAAAAAAGAAGTCCCTTAGTTCAAACTGCCTAATGTAAATGTAAAACTGCAACTGGTGTTACTTTTCATTTTGTTTTGTTGCTTCCTGTTTTGGACCAGTAAAAAATGCACCCACCTGTGGCTCTGTTGTTGAAGACTGTAGGTGAGGGCCTGGAGCTCCACCATTGAATCTTCATGTTGGAGGCAGTGGGATGGAGAGATGCTAAGGGAGATGATAATACAGTTTAAAAACAGGGCCATACATCTATGCACAAATACCCCTATTTATCTCTCCTAACAACAACATTAAGGAAGTAAAATCTAGAATTTGCCAAACAACTCTACTTTTATGCCAGTGATATTTGACAATGACATGACTCAGAACCAGAATGTATATGGCTTATATGAGTGGAATATAATTGGATACCAATATGAATAGCACAGCCATATCAGTGTGTGCCTATGAGAATAATTGAGGTTTCAATATAGGAAAGTAAGGACATACTATTGAGGGACATATAGCTTTTTCCCCCAATTACAAGGATTTCAATTGATGTCACTGCATGTGGAGTTGCTTGGATCCACCCTTCACTTTCGATATCCTCTCTTAATTGGTATCAGGGATCAGTTAGGACATTTGTTTTACTTTTAGATGGATCTGAATTATACTGAATTCAGTATATTTGCTTTTAAGAAGTGTCTCTGTTGTAATTGTTGTGAGAAACTGTGTTAGGGTTAACCTCATGTAGTAGCACTTTAAATGCTATAAAGCTAGTGCATTTGCAGTATTTGAATAATGCTGGTTGATTCCACGTATTATAGGTGGATTTGGATAAAAAGTGTCAGGTAAATGAAATGTAATGTAATGTAGGTGATGTGACATGTGAGATTACCTGGCCACATGACAGAAATCACAGCCTTGCTTGTCAACGCAGACGAAGTAGCTTTTGCCTTTACTTGGTCCATCTTTAACGCCCGTTTTTAGCATACATATGCTGCCTGCATGGGGGACGTTGAGAAAGAGATGTTGACTTAATCATTTAGCTAAACTTTCTTTACAGCGCAAGACAGAAACGAAAATGCGTGGACACATTTGGTTTCGTTAATTCAGACCTTCAACAGAACATGCCTTGTCATGCGCATTTCTAGCATAACTATGACTTTTGGAAACTAAACACAATATGTAGCTTTATATTTTTTATAAGAAACACTTAACTAATTGTGACTTACCGTGGACATTACATAAAATCTTCTCCATTGTACTGGCACATTCACTTCAGTTTCTGTTGCTTGGACATGAAAATGAAAATGTTCGTATGAACCAATCGCATCAGTCAGAAAACACATCCGGTATATACATACCAGAATAAATGTCGACGTACACAATTTTGGATACAACTCACTTTGGATAGCCATAAAAGTAAATATATGATAATGCGAATATATCAAAACGTAGAATACACCAGGAATTAAGTATACAAAGTGAAAATTAAACAGTACGCCAGATTGAATTATCTCAGTGACTTTTATTGTGAAATACTTTTTGCAAGCGAGCCGTTAAACCGGATATCATTCAAAATTATTAAAAAAAAAATATATATATTCTGTGTAAATATGACTTTTATATTGATAAAAACTCACCGTTGATAACAAACAACTGTTATATTATAAACAAAAATGCTTATTTAAAACAAAATTATTACCGTTGAACTACATTACCCACAATGCAACATCTGATTCGTCATCTTTTTTTTTACTCTCGCGGGTTTTGTTTTGGTATGGCGGCAGGCTTCGAAAGTTCTGTATGTTATGTTTCTATTTTACACTTTTACCCTCCAGTGACACCGTTTCTCGCCCATGTTGAAGGTAAATCCCATGTTTTAAACACTTTTTAAAATGTTGCTAATGTTTCTGCCTCGTCACTACAGTGTAACAACTGTCAACATAGCTTTGTGTATCTTCAAAGAGCCTGCTAACAGCAAATATCACCAGGGACGCCTTTTAAATGAAATTGACTAAATTGTACTGTTATTACATTTCATAAATGTTGTCACTTTGTCAATGATTAGGACGCTAGATTTCATAAGCAGCTGTGGTTTACCGTTGCTAACCAAACAAACTGCCGTGGTGAGTCGCTACCGTTTAACCGTCTAAACCAGAGTTGTCCATTTATTTTACTGAGGGTCACCTACAGAAAGATATACAAAGGGCTGGGCCACTCACTAGAGGTAAGGTATATTGCCTTGTAAATCAGAAAATTCAATCAAATATAGGTAAATTATTACAAACAGCCTACCTCAAAGCTTTCAACTAATAGGGTTTCATTCATTTTGTTACAACAAGTGTCTGCAGCTCATTCCTTAAAACAGAAGCCTCAGATTGGGGGTGGGGGGATAAGACAAAATAGGAAGGGTATATTTCAATCTTATTATGCAAATAAGCTATTGGGCTTTTTCGATCAACTAAGATTTGTTAGAAAATGTTTTCAAGTTTAATTGACTGATTTTTTTTTTTAGAATTGGTCTTATTAACACATGAAAACTATATTTTTACATATTTAAGAAGTAGAATATAAGACAAGCACGTGTTTCATGTGTGGGCCATATTCCATTATACTTTTAGAATTTCCTGCAGTCCAATAAAAAATGGACCACGGGCCGCAGTTGGCCCCCAGGCCGCAGTTGGGAGACTTTGGTCTGACCGGTGAAAGCCAGACACTTATTAAAAAAGCTAATTGTTATTTCTACGTAAACGGGTTACTAATTTATATATAGTTTTCTTGGCACCATTTGAGCGTGCTGTACGGTAATTAATCAGGCTGTGATTAACCCTTATTAACCTGTCACCATAATCTGTGTCCAAATCCTGGATTAGCGAGCCCTGCCTGAGACAGCGCGTCATCCTCATGTCATCTCCAGCCGGGCTTCACTTCTCCCAGGCAGACTTTGTGGCCCGGTGGATGCCAAGTAGCACCAGAGCCGGGGTCATCCTCAGCCCCTGCCCGGATTTGGCAGGCTCCTTGAGGCACACCTCTGCCATGGGACCCTCCTCCCTGGAGCCAGACGACTCCTTTGCATCCGATTTCGCCCCTCTGCCCGGCTCAGCAGACAGCAGCTGCCTGGGTGTGGATGGATTTACTCGGTCACCTGGAGGAGCGAGAGCTGGGACGGACATGCCAGTGAACGGTCTGTCCTCTGGGAGACATTTAGATGGAGAGTTGGACAGTTTGGACGAGATGGCAAGCAAATCACAGGATCTGCCCCTAAGGATGAAGCTTGAACAGGTTAGGACATTCTGTTATGTTTTAGAATCTGGTGTCTCATACAAATAATGTTTTTTCTCCCAAGGCTTCAACACAGGTTAATTGCCTGTCATTGTAATAACAACATGAGTTTAGTTTGAAACCCTGAAGCAGAATGCACAATCTGGTTGTCAGAATGAACACTGTGAAGAGACTCAGAATATTACCTAGAATACTTGACCAAGCCAAATGAACATGACATCTCTTCCCTCTATCATGCAATCTGATCAGTGGACATCTTCATTTAGTAACCTTTACTCTTACATACTTAAAATAGCCCTGCAGCAGCACATGCATTATGTTAGCTAATCTGTTGTTGTGTCCTGAACGTGTGAATTTCCGGCTCTTTGTGTGGATTTAAATGGTGATTATACCACTGCTTCCTGTGTACTTAACATCTACCGACCCCATCTCACACAACCTTTGCCTCTACTTGCTATAATAGTGTTTCCCCCGAAAGCTACCCTTATCAGCAAATACTTGGAAGTGCGTGCATGCAAGTTAATTAGCACTTTTAACATATTCACTCTTTAAATGTGCAGTGTACAACTGTGATGGACAGCAACAAATACATTTACAAGTTAGAAAGTGTTGAGGTGGAATTAGTGTCATTAATTCCACTTAATATAAAGCCATGTCTAGTCAACATATATTTAAGCCTACTGAAAACACTGTGAGTTGCTGTGGATAAGAGTGTAACATTTAGATATCATTGTTTGTGTTATTGTGCAGTTGAGGAAATGGCAGCAGCAGATGCAGGAGCAGCTGAAAGCCAATCAGCTGGGGGAGCTGCTTCGCCTCCAGGAGGAGCAGCAGAGGCTGCTGGGAATGATGAATGGATCTCAGCACTGTGAAGGAGGTAAGAAAGAGAAACAACCAGAAAAACTGCACATGTGACAGTTTGCTTCATTTAAGAAATACATACAGTATGTTGGAGAGAGTGTGTATTTCACCTGCTTCTCCCCAAAAATGCAATTCATATGTAAAAAAGAACTCACTAAATGTTGTTATGTTTTTATGTGGGGGTAACCTCTTTGATTTATCACTACCTTATTTAAGATTGCTTTTTTGTTTTTATTTGAAAGGATGTATACGAAAAATCTATCTTTGATGCAATAACAATATGTTTTTCTTTCCAGTATGTTCCAGTGCCATTACATATATATATATAAGCATGTTTTGATGATTATCAAGATAACATAATATATTAGCATTACTTGGCCAGAATAACTGTGACATTAAATATATATGTTAAATATCTTCCCATGCCTTCTGTTATTTATTTTATAGATGACACAGAACTTTCAGATCTGTCAGAATCAGACTGGCAGGACAAGACGTCTTACAGCCCCTCCATAAACTCCCATGGAGTCCCACAGGGATCGTCCAGGGGCCCCCTACAGGGACAAGAGTCCTCACCTGCACAAAGCCAGCAGCGGCTACCCAGAGGTCAAGATTATCTGGAGGTGGACGGTGAGGAAGAGGGTGAGGAGGGAAATGTTTTTTTAAGCTTAAGGGGACAACAGCATTTGTACAGAATTGTTTTATGTTGTGAGTACTTTGAACATGATTTTGACTCTGTGTGTTTCCTACAGGCACGTGGAAACCCAGAGAGGATGATCGTGAACAGAGTTTCCATACTAACCATTCTCATGAGCACAAGGACACTTTAATGCCAAGTAATGGTGTGGATTTGACTGAAGACAACAACGGGGAAAACGATGAAGTCTTTCATGACGGGTAAAGCCTATGCTCCAATATATTACTGTTACTCTTACTGTTTTTATATTTGCTGACTTCATTTTCTGTATGCATACGTCTGCCTGTGTGTGTCCGTGCCCCTATCCAGACCTATAAAGTCAGGTATCGGGGGTCAGAAGAAGACGTTTGAGGAGTTGTTGGAGGAGCAACTCAGGCTGGAGGAGCAGAAAGTGAAGTCTCAGCAGGTCAGAGAATATAACACGGTTCCCATTACAAACAGTAAAAAAGTCAATCATCAGTTAGTACTAAATGTACTTATCCCCTTAAATGTAATATCACTAATCTTTTCGTTATGAGCCAAACATTGTATGTACAGCCCACTGAGGGTAATGGAGTTGTAAGCCTCTCCATACGGGTGCAACAACATCCACATTCTCATTGTGTCTTCTCACTTAAACAGAGCCATACGAATGCTGTACAAGCTCCTCCCAAGAAGGCCTTTCTGAAGCGGGGCGAGGGTCTCTCAAGATTCACCAACACTCGCAAAGCCTCGTTACCGGAAATGGAGTTAAAGAAGGATCCTAAATCACAACTCAAGTCCAGAGTAATCTCCCGCAGCAACTCGGAGCCTTCATCCATCCAGAAAGGTGTCACAAATGGAGTCCAGCGGCTTCCTGTTCAGCGTAAAACTGCAACTCTCAACAAGGAGAACCGACCGAGGGGTTTCGGTTCAGCACCTCAGGATTTAAGAGTTGAGAGCAAGGCAGCACGGATGAAGGTGTTGGGTAGTCATCAAAGACAAAACACAGAGGCAATTCAAGCTAACCTAGAGAGTAGACAAAGTAGACAACATCAACTCGGGCAAGTAAAGGATCAGAACAATAGAAAGGTGGGTCTGTCCGCTCAGGCTGCCGGGAACATGCAGCCAAACCCTGTGACCAAACAGGTGGGCATGTTCAGAGCGCCAAAGAAAGTTGGAAGTGTTACCGCTAGAGAAGAAAGATTGGAATCGGCAGAAAGAGGAGCCAGAGTTCCACAGGATTCGTTTGAGTTGTCGTTCCAGGAGAAGCTCCACCGCTGGGATTGTGACCTGCAGATCGAAAACATGGAGCTGGGAGAGTTTGAGCTGCTGGAGCAGGCGGCCGACGAGCTGTCCTTCTCCTCCAACTCCTCCTTTGTCATGAAGGTACTGCATAAAACACTAGTGCTTTTAAGTCCAAGGCATACGCTCTAGTTGTTTACACTTTAGTTTCTTACAATACAGTGTGATGCTTTATTTGACTTTTTTTCTGATTGCATAAAATGTCTTGGATTTTGTGTCCAAGTGTATATGCTTTCTCTCTCTCTCTGTCTGTCTGTCTGTCTGTCTGTCTGTCTGTCTGTCTGTCTGTCTGTCTGTCTGTCTGTCTGTCTGTCTGTCTGTCTGTCTGTCTGTCTGTCTGTCTGTCTGTCTGTCTGTCTGTCTGTCTGTCTGTCTGTCTGTCTGTCTGTCTGTGTTGTGTGTGTGTGTGTGTGTGTGTGTGTGTGTGTGTGTGTGTGTGTGTGTGTGTGTGTGTGTGTGTGTGTGTGTGTGTGTGTGTGTGTGTGTGTGTGTGTGTGTGGTGTGTGTGTGTGTGTGTGTGTGTGTGTGTGTGTGTGTGTGTGTGTGTGTGTGTGTGTGTGTGTGTGTGTGTGTGTGTGTGTGTGTGTGTGTGTGTGTGTGTGTGTGTGTGTGTGTGTGTGTCGCCTACGTGTGTGTGTGTGTGTCGCCTACGTGTGTGTTCCGCCTACACTGCGTTACTATAGTTACTACCCCAGTTCCTAAACTGTAATGGAAACGCTACATAAAGTGAGCCTGGCCTAACTATACCGTGCGAGGCCCTGCAGTGGAAATGCGCCATTAGTAGCAATAGAATAGAATAGAATTGGGAGGGATGAAACCCTCTGTAATGGTCACACATGCAGAGCACACAGTGAAATGTGTTCTCCGGTGCCTTGCTCAAGGGCACCACGGCAGGGCAGGAGGTGAACTGGAACCTCTCCAAGTAGCAGTCCACACTCCATATTTAGGTCTGGTCGGGGACTTGAACCGGAGTCCTACAGCTCACAGTCCAAGCCCCTACTGACTGAGCCACTGCCGGGTATGGGTATGGCAGAACAGCTCGGATGAGGGTAGTGTAAAGAAAGCAGCAAGAATGAATTCCGCCAGTATTTAAAATATTCCAATAGTTACAATCTTGATCGTGTGGATTTGTATTCTTATTTAATCTTCACTATAAAGCGGTGTTATCTTAAAGGCTCTGTTCTGTTCTGTACTTACAGGTCCTTCAGTTGGACCTACAGCACAGGGGGCTCCACCCTCGACGGCTCTCCTCCACCCCCATCAAGTCACCACCAAAAGCTGCAGGTCAGGGGAGCGGTGGTGCTGCTAGTGGGAGTGATGTGGCATCTAGAAACAGTCCTACGAACTCTATGAAGTGCAATGAAGATGAGCTTGAAAACGGCGTTAAGAATAAGACGGAACTGAACAATGTGAGAGGAGAGACGCACGAGATCTCCGATGTTTCATCCTGCGACTCTGAATTTGAAGACCAGGAAGTAGCGGTCAAACCACCTGCGTTTCCCAGCAGCCTTTGCTTTCCCCCACAGTCCAACCTGCCGTATGACAAGCGGTCGTATCAGGACGAGGACAGCTGCAGGGACTCGGCCTCAGATGTGACACAAACTGAGGAGGAGGAGGAGGAGGAGGAGGAGGAGAGTGACAGCGTCCTGAGCAACGCCGACGAGTCCACTCTGATAGAGGACAGGCAGCAGGGGGGGGTTGTGTTTGACGACGACGACACGTGGAACGACCTGGAGGACACCGCAGTCGCCCCAGCCAATGAGAGTAGAGGAGTTAGTCCGGTTTCCAAGGCAATAGCCAATGGGATCCCGCCCCCGACGCAGACTCTCTCGAGGAAGGTGGCAGCGAGTAAAGTTGTGGAGCTGGAAATAGAAACAGAGCTTCCTCCTGCCTCTCAGCTCATGACCAGGTTGTTCCCCGCGCTGAAGCCAAAGACCCAGAATGCACCTCTCCCTGTTCCTTCTGTTGCATCTGAGTACAAAAGGCCAGAGGAGGAGACAGGTGAGAAAACACTTTTTTTCCCTTATTGACATGTATCAATATATACATGTCAATAACCTGTATCAGTATTTTTATTCTCAAATACAGGGAGCAGATTTTCAAGGAGGGTGATTTAGCCTAATGTGGGACATTCTTTTTGCTTTAAGCCTAATGTGGGACATTTGTTTGAAGGTTGCTCCACCCTCACCTGTGATTGGACATTTGAGAAGTCATGTGATTTTGATCGCATGACATCACAGCTTGTGTTAACCCATAGTTTCATTTGTTTGAGGAAGACCTACACCCATTGGAGCTTAGGTGTCCCACATTAGGGCAATTCACCCGATGTTTATTTCCCATAGACCCATAAATGTCATTTTTGTCATCCTTATATTTAATAATCAAAATGTCTACAATTCCCTACTTCTTTCTGTCTCTAACATTGTGGTATACGTGTACGAAACCTCAACTACCGGTACATTACATTACATGTCACTTGTTAGACGCTTTTATCCAAAGCGACTTACATACTCAGTACTGTGGGCAATCCCCACAGGAGCAATTTGGGGTGAAGTTTCTTGCCCAGGGACACAACGACATGCTGACTGCAGTGGGGTTTGAACCTGTGACCCTCTGTTCCGAACACCAAGGCTCTATCCACTGCGCCACACGCCTACATGTTCAGTACCTTTTTAAAAAACGGCACGCATGCATGAACAGAAGCTGTCTGGTTGTCACTTTATTGTGTCATGTACCTTTTTAATGCAAAAATATATATTATTGGCCGATCAATAAAAGTGTGTGTGTGTGTGTGTTCGTCTCCAGTCCCGCAGGTCCAGTCCCGACAGCTGAGAGAGAGACTGGTGGAGCTGGAGATTGAGATCGAGAGATTTAAGAAGGAGAACGCGGCCCTCGCCAAACTCAGACAGGAGAACGAGAAAAACCAGGAGGACCTCAGGTGAAATGTCACTTAATGTTTACTTTTCAAATGACCTTCCAAGACAGAGGTTCCTGCTCTGAGTTACTCTTATGACTTCATGTTCTAGGTAGACACTATTTCTCTGTATATTTTGTTTTATGTAACTTTGTCCATGTCTCTCCTTGTTTGTTATGCTTACTTTGTTGCTGTGTTTGTAGGAAAGAGCGTGTGGAGTTTGAGCAGCTGAAGGCAGAGGAGCTGGCTAAGTTTGAGGAGTATAAGAAGGAGGAGAACAGGAAGCTGCAGAAGGATCGTAAACTGTTTGAGAAGCATGCGTCAGCCGCCAGAGCCATACCAGACAAGAAGGAAAGAGAGGAAATCCAGGTGAATTCACACGTTATACATTTACAGTCTCAGAACAGTGAAGTTGGCTTATGTCTGCTTTACATACACATTCATCAACATTTAAATACTAATGAAGATGCATCTGCTTGATGTGAATGAAGCGACTTACCTTGGTTGCTGATTGGCTAATGGTTACACAAGCCAAAAAATCGTTATGACATCATAAAGTGGCCAAAATCTGATCAGCTCATTTTCAGACAGGTTTTTATAAAAATGGATCAGGACAAAAAGAGAGAGAATCTTTGTTCCTGAAACTTTCAGAGTCTCTTTACACAGAGAGGACACATGTTGATGTAGAAGAGACATGAAGAAGTGGATTTAGCATAATAGGTGACCTTTAATCTGTCCCCTTGCTCCCTGCTAGGCATTGAAGCAGCAGCTGAGCTCCCTGCAGGAGGAGCTGAGCGGCAGGGAGAGCCGCTGGACCTCCACCAGCAGCCGGCTGCGGCAGACCATCGACTCTCTGAACCAGGAGAAGAGCGCTCTGAAGGACGAGGGTACCCCCCCCCCTCACCTCTGACTCTCTTACCACATTTACACCCAGGCGTTTCAAATTGGATATGCGTCTGGATACCATAGCTGTGTAGGAGAAGTGAATGATCTGAACTAAGCTGGAGGTGATGAGGCACGCATTGTGATGGATCTTAGAAAATGATTGTCTGTACGTTGCATTCCCTTAACAATCAAGATAACCAAAATGCATTAAAACAACAAATCCTGATCACATAATAATAATACATGTGTAAATGGAGCCTTTGTGTATAATCGAGAAATACGCCTACGGAATATTTTAAAAGTAGTTTGTTGTCCTTACTGAATACTTCTATCTAAAGTGGTTGTCCTGAATAGTTTAATTATTCTTTGAGTAATACAACTACTTGCCTGTTATGTGTATGATTATAGCAGCCATTTTTAGTTTTTTTTGTCTTTATTTAAAAATGTTTAAGCATTCTTTCTCTTTTTATTTAAGATCCTTATGTTGGAAAAGCTCCGCCTGAGTGCCTGGAAGAAAACCTCAGTCAGTGCTGAAGAGAAGGAGAAAGAAGCGAGAGACGCCCCCAAAATGTTTGAGAACAATGTGCCATCTGTGACCAAAGGAGTGAAATTCGCTGTAAGCACATTTAAATGATTTGTTATTTATAATATTTCATGTAGTGTAAATAATAATATATCTTTCTTTGGTTAAGATCAACATGTTTCTGATAACACAAAAAACAATATTGGACTTCTCTCTGACTTTCATTTCTCGATGAGCCTTTAATTAAATTAAATATGTATCTGTGACTAGTACAATGTGAATGGGAGAAATGATCGGTGATTTGTTGTTTGTTAGCATCTATCTATCCATCTATCTATCTATCCATCCATCTATGTATCTATATATCTATCTATGTATGTATGTGTCTATCCATCTATGTATGTATGTGTCTATCCATCTATCCATCTATCTATCTATCTATGTATGTGTCTATCTATCCATCTATCTATCTATGTATGTGTCTATCTATCCATCTATCTATCTATCTATGTATGTATGTGTCTATCTATCTATGTATGTGTCTATCTATCCATCTATCTATGTATGTATGTGTCTGTCTATCTATCTACAATGTGAATGGGAGAAATTATCGGTGATTTATGTTGTTTGTTAGCATTATTACAGCATCAGTGTATTTTTTATGGCATGACATTGAACCCTCTGTGTGTTTTCAGCTCCCTCTGGACTCCAGAAGAAGCAGCTGTGCAGCAGCCATCAGACGAGGCTCCAGAGACACTCAGGGAGCTACAGGTACGCTCAGGAGCTTCAGTCCATTCACAGGAACACAGTAGGGCTGTACCCGAATATCCGAATATTCGTTTTTTTTTGGCATCCGCGCTGCACTGCGGCTGCCAAATTGAATTTATTGAAATCTCCAATATCAACGTAAGAGCTTGTGCCTCTTCGGGGGGTGCTAACACCTAACCATACACTTTATCGTTTACTTTCTCCGTCTTTATATGTAGATATGACTTATCTCTGTTAATCTCCATCACGTTGTTTCCATAGCAACAACAACTTCCTGTCAACAGCGCTAACTCTCCTTCAAAATAAAAGCATGTCCATACAAAATAGGAAGCCAAGCCAAATTACACTTAAGACATTTAAAGTAACAAACACAATGCAATATCCTTTTCAATTTCAAAGAACACAAATTGAGTTATATACATTAACAAATAACTATAACACAACAATACTGTAGAATAACAAAATGAATGCCGTGAATAAACCGAAATACACGTGTTGAAGCGGTTCGCTGCTGATTACTAAGCACCCCCCCATATCCGAATATTCGCTGCTGATTACTACCGAATATCCGGAGCCCGAAAAATGGTATTCGGGACAGCCCTAGAACACAGACACTATCATCACATTTTTGAGGACTAAGATATCTGGCGCATTGGTTTAGTAACTACAGGTTTTTGCAGTCCCCTAACTTAATAAGGTTGCTTTGATTAAGACTTAAATGAAGTATTGATGAAAATAAACTGTATTATGGACGTGCTTTGCTTTGGAAAAAACTATTCGAGTGTCGTTTTCCCCAAAGTTCCGACTTCAAGGCAGCTATAATCATTTTCTTCACAAACAAGGGATCACATGACTATTTGGTGTGTGTGAAGCTGAACAAATGTAAAGTATCAGTTCCCATCAGCTCTACAGTGCTCTATAATGACTTCCAGCTCACAGCGTTACTGTTTCAGTGAGCTCCCACTGTTCCGTGTCCTTTTCACCCACAGCAAATAGCTATTGTCAGTTCAAAGCTGTGATAAACGCAGCAAACAGCAGACAGAACAAGTGAATGACTAGCTGGTGAACTGAGCGTTTAGCCACTAAAGAACCAGATATTTTCCTCAGCAGTTGGTTTGACACGAAACAAATATTGAGAGTTATTGGACTTACTGATATACTTCCCAAATACTTGTTTCCACGCTAAAACCCTCAACATTGTGATGGATTACAGATTTGTTTTTTGTTTGGTTTGTCAGCAGCGATGAAGAGCAGCCTGAGGAGGCCATCAGGCTGCGGACCCTCCTCTTCCTCCTCGTTGCTGCCTGTCAGAAAGACGGAGGAAAGGTCGACTCCTGCCAGCTCGAGTCAGGACAAATCCCCAAATCAAGAATCCTCCAGCAGCAGCTCTCCCGTGAGAGACGTGGTGAGTGCTGCTCTCTCTTCTCTGGTAAAACATCCAACTTTTTAATGATATTTTATTTGTATTTCTGAAATATTTTGGACTGTTTAGTTCTTGTGTCTTAATTTCTCTTATATACATTCCCAAATTGGGATCAATAAAGTACTTATATCTGTCTATGTATGTATGTATGTGTCTATCTATCTATCTCTCTATCTATCTCTGACCTTAGAGGTGGTCAGCCCGACACAAATAGATCCCCTAATTCTCAATTTCTTTATGATCTTGTTTGGGGTCGTGGTGCTGTTGAAGCACGCTGCTGTAAACCAGGGCTCAGTCACTGTTTCATATTTCTGCTTCCTATCCTCTTATCGTAGATAAGGCAATCCCTACCTCAAGAGCCCGAGTGCAGCGAGGCCAACGAGCCAGAATCTGACCAGGAGGTCATTACACACCCCGATGGGAAGGTGAGGAAGTGGAAATATTTGTCATTTTCCACATCACAGAATATATCTTGAAAGTGAAAACGTGTCTGGATATGTTCACAACATTAAGGAGGACATAACACAACAGGGATATGCAGCTTTCCTCAGTAACATAAGATGTGTAGTTTGTTCTTAAGGTGTCTTTGTTTGCATCAATCTGTAAACAGCTGGATGTAACATTGATAGAAGACTTAAATATGAAGTTGTTCTGCAGTTGGTTATGAGTTCCTGAATGGAGTGTGATGCTTCTGATCTCAGACAGAGACGGTTCTGGCTGGAGGCGATCGTCTCTTCGTCTTCTCCAACGGGACGAAGAAGGAGGTCTCAGCGGACGGACTGACGGTCAAAGTCACGTTCTTCAACGGAGACACCAAGGAGGTCACAGCCGACCAGAGAGTGGTGAGGACTTTGACTTAGGTCGCATTCACACCAGCCTTGTTTAGTCCGGTTGAATCGAACCCTGGTGCGTTTCACCGCTTGGTGAGGTTCGTTTGGGTTTATGTGAACGCAGTCCGAGACCTCCGAAGTGAACTAAACCAGTGGTTCCCAAGGCACACCAAAGGACAAGTACAATTCTCAAGGCACACCTATTGTGCAAAATAGCCCTTATAACACGTGTTATCACTCATATCATGTAAAATATCTGTAAATGTGCATAATTATTTACTAATGCCAAATAAAATGTGACAAAGACAACTATATTACTCATGAAATATTTATTATCGAAATATTTCAGAAATTAATTTGAAACTTTATCAAATTAGGCTTCATCAAAGCAGCAACACACTCATTTAAACCAGACAGGTCACAAAATAAAAAATGAGGCAAAGGTAACTCAGCACAGAGAACTGTCCATTTTTTTAATCCTTGGTGGCACTGAGGAGAGGGCCACTCGCAAGTCCTGTTCAACAGAGAGCCGTGACCTCCTGTTGTTCTTCATGTAAACCAGAGTAGAGAACGCCAACTCACACAGGTAGGTAGTGGGAAAAAGAAGAAGTTGCTCAATCGCGTGGTGGGAGATGCTTGGGTACTCCGATGCAGAAGCCAACCAAAACTGATCCAGTGGGAGCTCACTAAATTTGAGTTTCAGTGTGCGGTCCACACGGAGCTCTGCGCACTCCTCTCTCTCTTTCATAGTGAGCTTTTCTGATGAGAGTTCCTGGTGGAATGGGTCTCGGATCCAGTCATAGTCCTCGATGTCAGCCACACGTGGAAAATAGCGGTCAAACCTCTCTTTTAAGGTCTGAAGGTGTTCGGCATATACAGCGCGCTCCCTAGCTGCCTGCGGCGCAGCTGATGCCAGCGGGAACATGTCCATGGAGCCCTGTTCCAAAGCCTCGCGCCACAGGATAAGTTTGCCCATAAACCCCCGAATCTTGTCTGTGGATGATAAAATGTTTTCATTCCTGCCCTGAAGCTTGGCGTTTAACTCGTTGAGATGCCCAAATATGTCTGCGAGTAGGGATGTCCCGATCACCTTTTTTTGCTCCCGATCCGATTCCGATCATTTGATTTTGACAATCTGCCGATACCGATTTTTCCCGATCCGATCTTTATGCAATGCATTAAGAGGAAAAAAAAGGTAACAGATAACGGCTGGTCATCCAACGCGATGAATTCAGCTATCTTGGCTGTTCTGGGGTAGTTTCTCTTTCCTTTTAAAAGTCTCTGAAAGTGTCGGTTGTTTCAGTGCCGTTACCTGAGTGGCCGCTGTGTACTCGTCGTGTTGTTGTTGGTGTTTGTATTAGATTGGTCATGTTGAACGTAGCTCTGTTCTTTCCACCACGCGGAACCTCCGCCTTGCAAACATTGCATCTGGCTGTTACACTGCCTTCGCTTTCAATTTTATAATACTTCCAAACTCCTGACATTTTCTCTGTCCCGACTCCCGAGTCACCAGCTGAACGTAGCCTCTTGTTAGCTTACTGCTACTATTAGACACTGCGCCCACTCTGTTGCCAGATTTGAGAGAAATAAGCAACCAGGTCTATGAAAACAAGCCCAAAAGAAGCAACACATACATGATGTGTAATTTTAACCCAAAACTAAGGCCTCAGGATGACTTTAAGACGTGAACATGGTCATTTTTGTTTTGTAACATTAAATAAAATGTATAAAAATATTTTATAAAAAAAAAAAAAAAAAATTCCGATCCCCGATTTTTTTCTGCCGATCCCCGATCACGTGAAAATCACGTGATCGGCTCCGATCCCCGATCACGTGATCGGATCGGGACATCCCTATCTGCGAGGTAAGCCAGCCTGGCGCACCACCTCTCATCCGCCAGCTTGTCTTTATGTGGGACAGCGTGTTCACGTGAAAACTCCAAAAGCTCTTCCCGAAGCTCATAAAGACGGGATAGGACTTTCCCCCGTGACAGCCAACGTACCTCTGTGTGGAGGATCAGGCTTTGGTGGTCGGCTCCCATCTCGGCGCACAGCTGGGAGAAGAGGCGAGATTTCAGGGGCCTTGATTTTATGTAATTTACCATCTGCACAGCCTGATTCAGCACCTCAGTCAACTCCGGGGGCATGGCTTTGGCAACTAATGCCTCTCTATGCAAAATGCAGTGGTTTGTCACGATATGTGGGTTTTGTGCTCTCACCTTAGCAATACATCCTTTCACTCTCCCCGTCATGCTTGCCGCACCATCTGTGCAAAGACTGACGCACATATTCCAGGTCAGACTGTTCTCTTTTAAATAGTTATTAGTTACCCTGAATATTTCTTCTCCCGTAGTATGGCTTTCCATTTCTTTGCAGAAGAAAAACGTCTCTTTGATAGAGTCAGCATCAACATATCTGACGTTTGCCAGAAGTTGGGCAGCCCCACTTATGTCAGTAGATTCGTCTATTTGTAGAGAAAATCTGCCGCTCGCCTGCAGTTTCTCTGTCAAATGTTGCTCAATGTCTTCTGACATGTCGTCGATTCTTCTTTTGATTGTATTATCAGACGACGGCACTTTGGATAGCTCATTTGCGGCATCTGGACCCAGCATTATACCTACAATGTTTTTGCAAGCGGGGAGGATGAGTGTCTCCGCTATTGTGTGAGGTTTCTTCTGCTTTGCAATTAGCTCCGCTAGCATGTAACTAGCCTCCATTGCCTTTTCAGACACTTTCACACAATCCAACAAACGGTCTTGCTGCCTCTGGTTCAGATCCCGCGCTCTTATGAAGTAGGCCAAGTTTCTCTGAACATGAAAGGGATGTTTGGTTTCCAAGTGCCTCTTCAGCTTGCTTGGAAGCATGTTCGCATTAGCTAACTTCTCCCGACAGACGACGCACTCGGGCTGAGGATTGTTGACATCCCCGGTCCAACTGAAGCCATAAGACAGGTAACTTTCATGATACTGTCTGCTGACAGTTTTTTTCTTTCGGTGGTGGGTTGTCGGCAGTCTCTGCACTGGTGATTGGTGGTTTGCTCCGCACAAGAAAGCGCTCCATTTTCCCTCTTGCGTGTTTCTCTGTTTTAATGTTGTCCTTCAGCCTTCGATGTGTCACGGTCTTATAATTCCCACCTGCAACTGCGTTAACAGCGAAATATGGGGTTCCGTGAGGATTTTTTTTTAAAGAATTGTTTTTAGGTAGAGTTTGCCTCTGTATTATGAAATGAGTGCATACAAAGTACTGATATAGTAAATAAAAAAATAATTATTTTTGTGTAGTTGTATATTGCAATAATAACGTATGGTTGTCACAAAATCCCACGGCACACCCGGACTTGCCTCACGGCACACCGTTTGGGAACCACTGAACTAAACAACCGGACTGTGGTCCGCCTAAAAGAGGTGGTCTCGGACCGCTTGCAAGTGAACTCTGGCGCGGATCATCGCTGGTGTGAACGCAGTCCTCACCAAAACACAGGAAGCGTAGTATTTATGTCTTCAAAATCTTTAGCGAAAGACTCTTTCGCTAAAGATTTTAAAGACATTGCGTTTTTACCCCCTTAATGTCTGACCAATGGTTGAACAGCATTTCCGTGCACATGACTTGTGTTTAAAGTGTATAGTCCGTTTGAGTTTTGCCCGTGTGAACGCAAACCGAACCTTCTGAAAAATGAAACAATGTAACAAACTGTCGTCTGGTGCGCACCTGAGAACGGACTATTAGGTGTGAATGCGACCTTATTCTAAATGTATCTGGTTTGAACACAAACTCCTCTCCTGCACCGGTTAAATGTGACCAACGTCTACCTATCCAATAAGCATGTATAAAACCGTTCTCTCCTCACAGATCTATTACTACGCCGAGGCTCAGACGACACACATCACATACCCAGATGGTATGGAGGTGCTGCACTTCCCCAACAACCAGACTGGTGAGTCCGGGAGGAAACCACATTTTCAAAGTAGTTGCAGCTCTGTAAAATAATGTTTACCTTATTATTAGATGATACTTATTAATGAATCAGTGTGTAAGGGAAGCTGCCGAATAAATGTAGTCAGTGAAAAAAAAAACGATATGTTCCTCTGAAATGTAGTTCAGAGGAAGTATCAACTTCCATAACTTCAGATGTAGATATACTAAGTTAACTTCCACCAATGGATTTTATTCAAAACAGAAAAGTTTATCTAATGATTAAAACTTTTATATATTTGGCATTAAATGAAAAAAATCATGTATGTTCGTAGTGGCTTAGTTTGTATTAAATTGGCAAAATAAAAATAAAACGCAGGTAATTGATGATTACAATGTTCCATACATTAAAGGTGGGGTAGGTAATTCACTTCAGAAACACTTTGTGTTATATTCCATGGAATGCTCTTAACATCCCGATAGCAATGAATATATTCAATGCTTTGACAATAAATACATTAAAAAAAATATCATCTGTGGAAGCCGTGGCGCTGTAAAAAGCACGACCAATAATCTGAGCCGGCCCGGCTAAAATAACTGGATGGCCTACCTGCCTGTCAGCCTTCCATCTGTGCACAAACTTATCTCGTGCCCTCATTGGTCATGTGCGCGTTCGTGTGTGTTGGAGGAGGGGCTCTGTAAGGAAGTCTGAAGGAAGTGGCAGATTTTTTCCGGTTGTATACTTTCAAATTCTAGCGCACTCGAGCTGGTTTCTCCATTCTTACCTACCCCACCTTTAATACTTTGTTTTATTTCACCCTCAGAAAAACTTTTCCCAGATGGCCGTAAAGAAATCACGTTCCCAGACCAGACGGTGAAGAACCTGTTTCCCAACGGCCGGGAGGAGAGCGTTCTGACGGACGGGACCGTCATACAGGTCAACTCGTAAGTTCAGAGCTGTTATTACTGCGTCTGTTTTTACTACTAATGAACATTGCTTTGCGCCGAATGGGAGTATTTAAAGGTCACCTATTATGCTAAATCCACTTGTTCCTGTCTCTTCTACATCAACATGTGTCCCCTCTGTGTAAAGAGATTCTGAAAGTTTCAGTAAAAAAGATTCTCTCTTTTTGTCCTGATCCATTTATATAAAAACCTGTCTGAAAATGAGCTGATCAGATTTTGGTCACTTTATGATGTCATAACGATGTTTTGGCTTCTGTCACCATTAGCCAATCACCAACCAAGGTAACCCCCCCCCCCCACCTTATCACCTGAATCTCCTCCTAGAGCACCATTGTGTTCTTTGTAACCAAATCTCTCTCAGAGGGGCGTGGGGAGGGGCTCCTTATTTTCATCTAAAGTAACAGATAGAGAATCAGCACTTTTGAAACAGGGCTGAAACAGAGGGGATTATGGGATGCTGCAATGATCTGTTTGGTGCCAAACACTTCAGAGACATGTTTTATATATATCTGAGACCTATAACATATTGATGAAAAACAGTATAATAGGGGACCTTTAAAGTGTCCTACACCTTCAGTTGACGCTGTGTGTGCATTCTGCCCCTCAGGGACGGCACTAAGGAGATCCTCTTCAACACGGGCCAGAAGGAGATCCACACGGCGGACTACAAGAGGAGGGAGTACCCCGACGGCACGGTGAAGACGGTGTTCACAGACGGCCGGCAGGAAACACACTACCCCACGGGACGCATCCGGATCAAAGACAAGGACGGGAACGTCACCCTGGACAACCGAGCGTAGCAACGCCGCGTCTCAAATCTCCAGGAGGAGATCAGCTGGTCGGGATTTAGTGCTTTTTAAAATGTCATTTCAACGCGCTCTGCCGTAGTCAGAGGCAACACGACAGCTGGTACACAGTTAATATGGAGGAAGCAATAAGCCTTTTTAATAGCATTTAAATTATTTATTTTACCTCAAAAACACATCCGACAAGAAACAGTTTGCTAGAAAACTCTGCCTTTGTTTTCTGTCTAAAAAAAGGTCAAAAATACAATTGCAACTAAATCTGTTCTTTTGTTTGTGCCATCTTTTGGCTTATTATCGAACACCGTCCTTCATTCAGTCTTTACAAAAACTCACATTGTTTACATTTCCAGTGAAGGCCTGGGAATAATGAAACCCTGTTCAGATTCAGTGTGAGTGAAGTGTTTGTTTACAACCATTTTAATTTGTGAATATGTATTTATTTTCCTAGCTTACTGTATATTTCTGTAAAATAAATGTTATCTTTGTTTTTAGAACCATGAATCCTTGTTTTAATCATTGTTTCAGGAAGAGTTTCAAGTAATTATTTATTACCAGGGTGTCCGCGGGGTCTTAAAAAGTATTAAAAGTTGATAAATCAATTTAGCGAAAATTAAGGCTATTAAAAAGTATTAAACGGCATTTTCCAAGGTATTACATTTTGTAGCTTGTTTTCAATAAGTATATAAATTGTCCAAAGAGGTTGTATTCTACAGTCTGCCTGAATGTAATCATTGAGATGGACTTTTATTAATCCCTCGTGGGGAAATTGTTTCTAGGCATTTGACCCATCCTAGTGTTAGGAGCAGTGTGCTGCCATTTTGAACGGGGAGCAGTGTAGGGAAGGGAACGGTGCCTTGCTCAGGGACACCTCGGTAGCACTTGGTCTTGCCGGGACTTGAACTGGTGACCTTCCAGTTGCCAAGCCAAGTCCCTATCGACTTCGCCACCACCGCGTAGGTGTGTAGTGTGATTCTGTGTAGTTTATTTATGACATCCCGTTGGATTTGACGTCATCTGAACAGGACATCGCACGCTCACTGCTTGATAGCGTGCGAAGCTCCGTTTACGCCGGTTGTTAAACAACATCGTAGGGCTGCTCAATTAATCGTATTTTAAATCGCAATTACGATTTTGGCGTTTTATGAAAACATAATAATAAAACGATTTATTTTGTATTGGTTTTTCAGTTGAATTATACTTAAAGTTCAGGGTAATCAACTGTTCAAAACATACTGTTCAATTTTTTTTTTTAACAAATGGATGTTTTCTAAGTAAATGGATAATTGTTTTTAATAATCGTGATATCAATTATTGACTCAAATAATCGAGATTATGATTTTTGCCTTAATCGAGCAGACCTACAACATCGTTATGGGGAAATGCAAGTTTGCGTCCAAATGGTTGGAAGATAAGGAGGAAGGACAATCAATACTGTATATAGTAAATGTGAGGTAAAGTGTGTCGCCAAGGTAACCGGTTAAAGCTCCAAGTGGCGATGAGGTCTTAAAATGTATGGAAAGGGTCTTAAAAAAGTATTACATTTGACTTCAGGATTCCTGCATATACCCTTATAAAGAAAACACTGTACAAAGTTTAGACTGCATTAAAGACTTTAATCTGCACATTCCTACAGACAAGTCCGTCTCGCGTGATTTAAATAACGAGAAAATAAAGTGCCGATACAACACAGCTCACTGAAACACAACACAGCTCACTGAAACACAACACAGCTCACTGAAACACAACACAGCTCACTGAAACACAACACACTTAAAATAAATATCTGCTCTGCAGGATCAAACTTCCTGCAACATGTACAAACTCAAAGCAGTAACACAGCAGAACAAAAACCGGACGTCCGCGGGGGCGAGCCTGGAGGAAGAAGAGAAGGAGAATTTATTAACAGCAGCTTCAGGTTTGATGTCTTTGAGACTCATAGCTCAATCCTTTTCTACTGCAACATTCAGTATAAGAGTTTCAACCTTTGCCTATAGTTACTATATAATCATGATGCATCCAATACAATGCATGCAAAAATCAGGAGATTGTAACGTGATATTTAAATCTGGGTTAAACAAAAACACCAAAAGTTCAAAGGCTCCTATCTAAATGTGTGAATCGCATATTTGAGCTAAATCTGCTGACTCACCTGAGCTGCTCCCTGTGGATCGGTCCTCTCGCTTCACTCAAACTCAGCGAGGCCGCTGCTCACCAGAGGAAGATGCACCAGCTCCTCATCCTCGTTGTACAGCAGCACCGTGAGCTCCGGCTCCTGCGCCTGCACACAAGAAGAGCAAGAAGGCTGACACTGAATCACCTGAACAAACACAACCGAACCATAATGACCAGGTTTTTATTCCCATGTGTTTAGTTTGTGTTGTGCACAAAAAGGCAGTGAAGAACAAGTAATTTAAGTAAGTATCATTTTTCTACCTTAAATACTTTTGTATGCATGCATGCTTCTTAGGTAACTTTAAGCCGTAACAATGTACATTTCCCCTCTATGGGACTAATATGGGTAAATAAAGGTATTCTGAAGACAACAAGGTGGATTTAAAAATGCGGGTTCAAACTTTTTAGGAAAACCAGCTTTGCAAACGTTTTATGAGGAAGGAAATGCATATATTAGATTATTAAAGCGACAAAGAAAAACATGTTTTAGTATTTAAGACTGACTAAATATTATTATGTATTTATCTCAACAAGGACCATGCATACAAATACATTAAAGGTCACCTATCATGCTATTTTTAGGCAATAGCATAGGTCTCAGATATATAAAAATATATAAAAAAACATGTCTATGAAGTGTTTTGCTCAAAATACCAAACAGATCACCCATTCTAGCCATGCCTCATATCCCTCTATTTCACTTCCTGTTTCAAAAGTGCTGATTTGGGGTATAAAACTTTAAAAAATAAAAAAGCAGGGGTCTGAGCTCATGCGGGACCCGGCAGCTACTGTCTAAACTAAATACTGCCGTGATGAAACGCCATATCATGGATTATCAAGGATTATTTCTGAAACAGTATGGAGCTCAAAGGCTTTCTCTCTTGCCGGTTATACCACAAGGTGAGTTCCTTTCTATTTCCTGCTTCTTCACACACATGCTCTCCAGTACAGGTTAGCTCTGAGTGTTAGCGATGCTAATGTAAACACCGACCATATTACGTCCAAAACAGTCGGGCATTGTTTCCGATAGCAACGTTTCTGATAGGGCCGTGGGTCCACATTTCCGATATTACGTCATATCGGACGCAAATCTGGATCAGCTCCGTTGTAGCCCCGTTTTTAGAGATTTGGGTACGGAGGAAAAGAGAGGGTTTTATTTTCTGACGCTGCGTGAGTTCCCCGACGCACCGGGGACACACATTTATGTATAAAAGACATCAAAAAGTGCATTTAGCATGATAGGTCCCCTTTGATCTCAGAAAAGAGAAGAGATGAATTATGCCAGATTTGAGCTAATAGCTAATTTCCATATGCAGTCCTTAGGCAGGTACATAATCAACAAACACTAAAAACCATCATGTCCATCATACAGAAATGTACTTCCTCCAAACGGTAGAATACTCGCTGTCTGGCAACTATTTGTTTTAATGTACTGTGCTACTGTTGCTTGTGTATGTGTTGTTTATCTGAAAAAACTCAATACAATCTAAGCACTAAAAACATTGCATAATCTCTCTCACACAATACAACTCATTTGTACATTACATTGTGCTTTTAGTTAACTATCGTTCTGGGGAAGTGAAACATAATGACAGCTCTATTTATGAAACAGTCATGCTGAGTGTCTCACCACCACACAGGCGGTGATGTTCCCGTGCAGCATGTCGATCATGTCCATGGCGGCCTGCACGCTCCAGGCCGTGCTGTAGGGCAGAACATCCTGCTGCTGCTGCCTCTCACTCGGAGGCTTGAAGCCGGCCACTTTCACTCTGAGCGCCCGGGACGGAAAACTCATGAGCTCAGCACACATCTGACGCAGCCTGACAGGAAGTGGAGACATCAGAGCATTAAACTCCCACTAAACATTTTACATTTATATTCAATTTAATATTGAATAATCCTTGTAATTTCTTGCACAATAATATCCTGCATTATATTTGTTACTGGGCATTTGTATATTTTGTACATTTCTTATGCTATTTTCAGTAGCGTGGCGTGGGGAAAAATTTAGGGGAAGCCCATTTTTTGGGGTTGGGGGGGGGGGGTGGTCAATAACGTAACCAGATGAGTGATTACAGCGCCCGGTATCATTTTACACACATTTGTATCACACAGATGCAGGACTTGCACACGCCTGTTATCTAACCGACAGGTCCGCACGCACTCTCCAGCCGAAACTCTCTCGTCTTATTAATTTAAGCATTTTCTTATTAATGTATGCAGACACACCCCACCCCCCCCACCCGTGCGGACATAATTGTCCTCATTGAACGTCCGATTCGCTCCCTTTTTCCTCTGTGTACACAGCTCGAGTGTGGGCATTGGCCTGTCATCTGATTTAATTTTGAGTTGCTGCTGTAGCGGAAGTTTAGTAAAGTTATGTTTGATAAAGTACGCCAAATCTCCACCCTCCATAATGCTTCATTTGCTTGATAATTTCAAACGGCGGTGATGAGTTACAGTAGGCTACTACAGTACGTAGTAAAACTGATGTTGATGTGATTTGATGGGATGGCAGTGTCTAATCAAATCGCCAGCCACCAGCCGCCTCTGAAGGGAAGCCAGAGACCGCTGGCTTCCCTTGGCATGGCCCTGACCAATCACATGTTGGCAGGGGCATCACGTGGGCCTCATCTGATTGGTCAATCCCTCAATTTTTTTCCACCAAGGGAAGCCCGATTCAGCTGGCCTCCTCTCGCAACAGTGAATGCAATCTACTGTTTCACCATAACATCTAGAGGGGCGCTGTTTGTTTCACTCTTTGTAAAATACTCAATGAGAGTGGGGGAGAGACGGGCCGGCAGCAACACATAGCAAAGGAGAATTATCGAAACAAACCAAGTGTATTTATTTAAATTATAACTACAATCCGAGAAAACAGGGGAAGCCTGGCTTCCCTTGGCCTCCGGGAGAAAACGCCACTGGCTATTTTATTTCTATTCTAAAATATTTTTGGACTGTTTTTTTTTTTAGTGTCTTAATTTCTCTTATGTACATTTGCTGCAACTCAAAATATTCCCAAATTGGGATCAATAAATAAAGTCTCTCTCTCTCTATCTATTCACAAACACATCTGTAGATCAGTGACTTCCAGAGGACTGAATGATACTCAGAGCTGAACGAAGGATCCTCTGCAGTGTTTGGTTCATACTTGCTGGGCGGCAGAGTGTCGTCGGAGCCGAAGTCCACGTGCTTCACCATGATCATGACGGGCTCCACGCTGGTGATCATCATCACTTCGGCCCGGTAATATTTCCCATCCCTGTACTCTGCCAGACACGGAGCTCCTGGAAACCAGAAGCATAACGTCTTAACAAACCCTGCACAGTGAGGGTTGCGAGTATTTTATAACTGGGAAGGTTTTGACCACAGGAGGAGCTTCCAAAACCCACCTGGCATCGGAATATTTCATTTAGGATTGTTGGGAAAATACTGAATGTACTCTTCGAATATCAGAGTAACATGATAACAAAGGTATCCCAACTGTAGCTGTGTACAGGACAGGATGTGTGATTACCTAGAAGAGCATCAGGACTGTTTTAGGCATATGATAGCTATGTGATTAATATGATGATTCAGCCTCTATGGAGATAGACATATGACAAGCATGATCATTTCTGACGTGGAGCTAATCTGAACTAAACATTGAATACTGCTTTGAACCAAGCCCCCAGGAAGTGCGCCGGACTCTGTGCCAATATAAGGATGTACGTACATTTTAACAAGAATTCCAGACCGTTACTTGTTCATTTTTGTAACAACATAATCAGCACTAACTAATATGCTCCTATAAATAAGTATATTTATTTTCATAGCCCCGTCTGCACCTGGCAGTGAACACAGTAAATGTTACCTTCACGGAAGTTGCTGAGTCGTTGCAGACTACTGAGGTCTGAATTGATTCGGGTCAGAACTTCATCCAGAGACTCTCCATCCATCTCATTGGTGCCATCCAGAGGCCACAGGAACAGCTGCACACACACACACACACACACACACACACACACACACACACACACACACACACACACACACACACACACACACACACACACACACACACACACACACACACACACACACACACACACAAACACACACACACACACACACACACACACACACACACACACACACACACACACACACACACACACACACACACACACACACACACACACACACACACACACACACACACACACACACACACACACACACACACACACACACACACACACACACACACACACACACACACACACACACACACACACACACACACACACACACACACACACACACACACACACACACACACACACACACACACACACACACACCCGAATCAGAAACCGGTTTATCACCAGGTAGGTTGACACGTACGAGGAATTTGACTTGATGTCATGGTGCATACATACAAGTAAAACAAGAATTACAAACACAGATAGAACTATTTTAAGAAAACTATATAAACATAAAAAAATATAGTAAAATATATCAGTATTTACATAGAAATAGAATAAAATATGGAATAAAATTCGGCAGTAATACAACAAAAGGAAACAGATAGTGTGTACATACATGTAGAGTTTTAAACAAGGCACAGTGTATGTGGATAATTTCCTTCATTCATTTACTAAACTGTATCTAGTTCATCGGGTCTAATGCATGTACATCTGCATCTTTAAGATAGATAATGTTGGTATAATATAACGGGTGATAGTCACCTCGTTGGGGGTCCACAGGTGCTTGACCCGGACCTGAATCCGCTCCCCCTCCTTGGGCAGGTTTGGGTAGATGAAGGGTCCCAGCAGCGGCTCCTCTGGGCCCTTCAGACCCTGAATACACAACCTAATTTAGTCACTGTGTAGTGTTAACCCATTTTATATTACACGGCTTGGTTGTATACTTGATTCCGATTGGTCAATTCAGAACATGTGACACGTTAATACAGTAGTACAGACCGCTGTCAAGGGCTATAATGACCGTTGCTAAGGAGGATCAAGAAAGAGAAAGGAAAAGAGGTTAAAAGACGGAGCGCTGGACGTCAGATAAAGGAACAGAAGGCAGACAGGAAGTGAACACTAACAGCAACACGGTATGGGCTCTGCAGAGTTTAAGGACTTGTTAGTGGATCAGAAACTGTGAACAGAGTTGGACCGTGCTGCCGTAAAGTTGTTGTTTTGTCGCAGTTCCAGACGTTGGTGCGCCGCGGAACTGAGTTTTTTTTTCTTAGCGGAAGAAATACAATAATTTTTAAGTCAATACAATTATTTCAATTAATATTGGGAGTCGAGTTGTTAGTTTGTTTAGTATCTGGCCGTGTAATAAGCGGGATAATGTGCAGCGTTATCCCTTACTTATTGAATGGGCTCCATCACCAGGTTAGGAGTGATATTGATCTTAATGTTTACGGTGGGTTCATATGGTTTAAGTTAGGTAACGTGTGGCTGTCTTTAATATCAGTTTTCTAATCTCCAATTCTTATTTTAATACCTCAGTGTCGATGTCCCAGTCATCCAGGAGGCGAGCAGGAGACATCACTGCGAATTCCTGCACAGAAAACACAACAGTTTATTCTCGAGTGTGTTGTGGCAGCATGGCTTTATTTTTGGAAACCAGAAGACTAGCGATGCCACCACCTGTCTCATATCTGATGTTTTACAATGAAATGAACACACAGTTATGGCACTGGCAGTAATGTCGCACAGAGAAGACACAGCTTGTAAAACCTACAAGTCCAAATAAGCCATGTAGGAACAACCTTAAAATAATGTTTTGACAACAGGTCATAAAACTAAGTATAGTCAATGTTTTATGATGAGCTAACAATTTAATTGACATTTTCCATTAAAGAGAACATTTAGAAATGTTTGTGTTTTTACTGTCAATTATGTTTTTTCAGAAAAAAGAAAATCAGAATTAGCTGGTCAGCATTTTATAAAATAATTGTATCAGGTGAATCTCAAATAACCATAGAAACCAAACCAAACCCACAGACCTTGTTGACAGAGAGTGTCTGGTCTATGGAGGCGTGTTCGTGGTGACACATGATCCTGCTGAGGCTCAGTCCGTCCACAAACAGCTCCACTGAGAGGGGGTCTCTGGGGTCGCTGGGCAGCTCCTAACACACAATATAGATTCAAGATGTAAAGGTCACCTATCATAGTATTTGTAGGCAATAGCACAGGTCTCAGATATATAAAAAAACATGTCTATGAAGTGTTTTGCTCAAAATACCCAACAGATCACCCATTCTAGCCATGCCTCATATCCCTCTATTTCACTTCCTGTTTCAAAAGTGATGATTTGGGGTATAAAGCTTTAAACAAAAATTAAATTGATGAAAAAAATAAAAAAGCAGGGACCCGGCAGCTACTGTCTAAACTAAATACTGCCGTGATGAAACGCCATATCATGGATTATCAAGGATTGTTTTTGAAACAGTATGGAGCTCAAAGGCTTTCTCTCTCGCCGGTTATACCACAAGGTGAGTTCCTTTTTATTTCCTGCTTCTTCACACACATGCTCTCCAGTACAGGTTAGCTCTGAGTGTTAGCGATGCTAATGTAAACACCGACCATATTACGTCCGAACAGGTACAGGAGGGGTTTAATCGATCGCTGATGGCGTCTTGCTCGCGGACGGATACAAACTAAAAGGGTCGCGAAATATACGTTAATATACTATTATCTTTTTATTTGTATTTCTGTTGTAGCTATATGTTCACTTAGTTTTATGGGGTTTCATATTTTATATTGTTATACTTATATATTGTCAGAGAGAAATCATTATTTATTTTATTATCATACATTTTACCTCCTTGTGTCTATTAACCTGATCAAATGTTATATTTTGCTGCATGTACCTTTTAAAGTTCTTTACAAATAATCTGTGGAAAATTTCTTGTTTATTTTTAACTTGTGATGTCATTTTGTAAAGCACTTTGAGCTGCATGTGTTGTATGAAGAGTGCTATACAAATAAAGCTTTATTATTATTATTATTATAACAAGGTATTCAGTGTAATCCCACCATGACTCTCATGTCCACGAAGCGGTTCAGCAGGAGCTCCTTCAGTAAGGCCACTGCATCCCGCTGCCACCTTCCCCCAACCTGAACACACGGAGAGGTTAAAAATACAAATACAATATAATTTACTTTGTGTTAGATTTGTTGAGAACTCACAAATACACACACACACTTACAGGGTTGATGCTGTGCAGCTTGCAGGGCATACAGAGCTGAGGAACATCTTCACACAGCAGCACGGGGTACACATGAACCACTGGGATGTTCTCCACCAGGCCGTAGTCCACATACTGTACCTGGTTACACAAATAAGATAAACAGCTTTTTATAAACTTCATGTAAACGCAGTTTAGCAAATCCTGTGTTAGGTAGCATCTCCTCGTTGCGCCGTATTGAGGGTGGTTACATCAATAGAATTTACAATGAATCTTTAGACAAAAATGACTCAGAATATAACTTTAAAAGTATAATTTAAGACATTTTAAAACGGTCTATGGACTTATTTTTGGATTTAAGAATTTGTCGCCTTCGAAGACTTTACAAGGATCTGCAGGAACCTTGATGTATAACTTTGCCTGTGTTTTTATTGGTGGTTAAAGGTAGGGTAGGTAAGAATGGAGAAACCAGCTCGAGTGTGCTAGAATTTGAAAATACACAACCGGAAAAAATCTGCCACTTCCTTCAGACTTCCTTACAGAGCCCCTCCTCCAACACACACGAACATGACCAATGAGGGCACGAGATAAGTTTGTGCACAGATGGAAGGCTGACAGGCAGGTAGGCCATCCAGTTATTTTAGCCGGGCCGGCTCAAATGATTGGTCGTGCTTTTTACAGCGCCACGGCTTCCACAAATGCATTTTTTTTAATGTATTTATTGTCAAAGCATTTAATGTATTCATTGCTATCGGGATGTTAAGAGCATTCCATGGAATATAACAAAAAGTGTTTCTGAAGTGAATTACCTACTCCACCTTTAAATGTTGTTCAAATGTGTAATGTAAGGATTTTTGTGTGTTCTCACGGTGAGAAAGAATAAGCCATGAAAGACTGAGAAAATGACGTACAGTAGTTCCTTTATAGTTTACCGTTAGCTCTCTACTTCTGGCGATCGTATTAACCCTTCAAAAACTCAACTTGCAAAGGTTGAAAACTCACAGTAATATATGAATACTGTCTCAGTGCATGACTAAATAATGTGTGTGTGTGTGTGTGTCCTCCTGACCTTAACGTGTCCACCCAGCACCTCCAGCAGTTGTCCTCGGTACCACAGCATGTCCGGCCCGATGACAGCGCAGCCCAGCACGGACTTCCAGGTGTACGGCTTCTGTCTGGGTAAAGTCTTCATGCTCTGCTGAATCCTCTCCCTGAGCTGCTCCAGCTGACGCTCTGACATACACACACATTTACACAGAGAGCATTTATGTATTGAAAAAGCAGTCAAGATTTTGTTCATAAGGACCACATGATTAACATGTTATGTTTTGAGTCTTGAGTACATTTTATTGAAATAAAGGAGTTAATATGAGCATACCTGCATTCAGTGTTCTGGTGTAAATGAGACCGTCCTCTCCGATGGCAGAAACATTTATCTGGATGTTACCGAGGCACGGCAGCTCGGGGGGGTGATACATTGGTGTCTTCACCTGCACACACACACACACACACACACACACACACACACAATACAAACAGAAATATGGATAAATAGCGTGGGCAGTTTAAAGACTACATGTACACTTGACTACCTGTGCACCAGGGTAACATTTATAAAAAAACGGTAAATTCAAATCCGGCCGGTCAAAATGTCCGGTAATAATTAGGGATGCTCCGATCGATCGGCCGCCGATCATTTTCGGCCGATATTCACTCTTAATAGTTTGATCGGTGCTCTCAGGCCGATCAGGAGAGCTGGATCTGATCGATATGGACATAAACGCGCGAGAGAGAGCAGATCAGCCCCTGACGGAGACATGCAGCTCTGCATGATCACCTGAAGCTCCACCCACTGTTTAGAGAGCTGCATGAGAAACTGACGGGCTGTCAGGAGAGAGAGAGAGAGAGAGAGAGAGAGAGAGAGAGAGAGAGAGAGAGAGAGAGAGAGAGAGAGAGAGAGAGAGAGAGAGAGAGAGAGAGAGAGGATCTGTTTCTCCCGTGTTATTATTCAAAGTTAATGTAAACTTTTGAATAATGTACTTTATCTACTATAAGTAGTTTGTTTGAATGTAATAATGATGTTTGTGGAAGCGTATCATTTATTGAAAAATGCATCTGTTACGATTATAAACTGAAGCAATATAAAAATGATCCCCATTAACTGAGTTTTAAACATCAGTGGTCATAGTCCGGTAATTACCTGATAATGGAAACTCTGCTACACAATTCTTATCATTGAAACATGACCGGTAAGTTTCAAATTTGTCCGGTAAAATCAATTATTTTATAACCCTGCTGTGCACATATATTTTAATTTATGTTTTATATTTTAGATTCTGAAAAATGTACAAGGCAAGGAAGGCTTATAGAAATAAAAGGCTTTAGGACATAAAATAAAATGTGTTTTTTCTTACATGTGTTATAAAAGGTATTGGCATTTCTATTATCAATCGCACACACAGAATGTTTTCATTGATCTTTGCATTAACACAAAATCCAGGTGGAGAGAAATGATTTATTGGCTGGAGTGTGTGTGTGTGATTATGTGTGTGTGATCACCTTCTCAGCAGACATGATGGTGCGAGGGTTAGGTCGTGGACTAGTGGTAATGGAGATGGGGGTGGCTGGGAAGAACAAAGGACTCTGAGGAAGAGCTGGGAGAGTCTTTATCCCCTTCACATCAGAGCCTTCAGTCTGGGTCTCGCTCACTCGAGGCTGCGCTTCGGTTTCTTTGATCATAGATTTCTCCGATTTTTTAACAACAACATCTCTGCAAGAAGAAAGACACAAAAAATAAGGTGTCCACAAACACTAGAAGGACATTGGCTTACATTTAAAATACAAGATCAGTCTCTTACTAACACCAATAAGAAAGGATTTTCTGCTGAGTGATAAGGTAGATTCTTGTGTGGAGGGTGAATCAAATGCAAAACCTCAAGCGCAGAATTGATTTTTCATCCACAAATAATGGAGGAAAAATCCACAAGAAATGCTTTCATAGATTTGTTTTTCATTTTAAGAATTTGTTTGTATATTTGCAGATCCGTTTTTTCAAAGTTTAAAAAATATTTTCTCGATTTTTTCACACATATCGAGAAAAATCTACCTTCATTCACAAAGTAGTAGATATTAGAAAATACAATGAAAAGCTTCATACATATCAGACCTGACTAAAGAAGCAGTCCAATTGAAGAGTTTAATGATGGTCAAAAGTAGATCGGTGAGATCATCAGAATGACATATATGGAGAGTTTAAAATATGTCTTTCTTACATTATAAGACCCATGTATCATATAATCACACAACAAACACACACTTCCATGCATTTGACAGACGTGCACTCAGAGACCTTGGTTTCCTCTCCCTGAGGGCGAGGCCTTCGCTGACGAGAAAGTCTGCGATGCTGACAAACCGTCCCGTCTTGTTGGAGCAGGACAGAATGACGGGAACCGGACGCTCGTCTGTCAACTCCTGAATAACAAGAGAGAGACAGAAACTAGGTCACTGTGGACACTAAGAAAAGAGCTGCATAGTGGAGAGCAAAGAATAAAATAAGCAAAGTAACTTATAATATTAGAGCACATTTAAAGCCACTGACTTTGAGTAATTATAATTTTTTAGAAGATACACTTTGAAACATGCATGGGATAGCCATTTCCAGCCTATAACCAGTTAAACCCCACGGCCCCGCACAAAACGCAACATCTTGCGCAAGAAACAGCGTCTGAGGGCTTCTTAACATTTAATAAACTATGAATGTGTCATATCCACTTAACGGGAAGAAACTCAGCTTTCAGACAATATTAACCATGTTTAGCTAAAGGAAACAAAAGGGTAATAACAAAGGCTCTGAATTAGCCCTGAGCGAAAAAATGCTAACGCACTTAGCACAGAACTCACGGTAAAATACCCTTATTACTTATCGGATCTGCACAAACAAGATATCTATTAGAAAGCTGAGATTCCACAGATTCCAGACATAAAAGTATCATCACTGAGCGATCAGAACATGGGAAGCAAAACCAGACATCACAACACGTAGCATTACGGAGCAAACACGGGAGAAATTCTTACCTATGCTGTTGTTCTGATCAAAAGTTGTGTTCAATGGCATTAAAACGATAAAAACGCTGCTGCAGGTTAATCCAATGTGTCTGTGTCACTTTGAAATGATTACTGATAATCCATCTTCATATTTATGTCAATAACGGAGATTTCATATTAGCTGCTACGATAGCTACTAGAGTGTATGACAGCTTCCGGTTTTGGGCATTCTGGCTGCGCAGCACTCATTCACCAATGGGTAATGTTTAGATGGATTTTAGGAACTTCCCCTCGATTCTATTGGCTCCAACGGTTTAAAACGAGGTGTCAATCATCAAACTCGACCAACGGGTTCCAGAGATATGGAAAATGCACCCAAATAACCCCAGAAGTGTTTTTTTTTTTGCTAAGCCTCTCTAAAAAGGTCAAATGTCACTTGTTTTGCATCAATCTTGATACAGGGTACTTATTATATGTTATAGTTTGGATTCCTAAAGCTTTTAGTCTACTATCCCATTATTCAAGGGTGGTTTTCACTATAAGTAATGTTTTTCTTTTGGACAGAAATTATAATTGAAATGGTTTTACTATGTTCAATCTGGATTTACTTTAAAATAAGAAAAATCTATATGGATTCTGACTTTCCTACATCCAACTCACAGGTTCATCATTGCTTTGAGAACAAAGATTATTAATTTACGCCTTTTAGAAGTGAAGTTATAGTCAATTGTTCTGGGAATGTCATTTTCGAGCCTGAGGCCTGAAAAACAGGCTCGGGGCTCAACTGGTTGAATGCAGATTTGTACCAGTCTCTAAATTAACAAACACAAATATATTGTTATGTACATTAGGGTAATTGAGCTAGAGCAAAAGGAAATGACTGGAGATTCAGACCTTGATGGTGACCATAGCCGAGGCTCCAGCCAGGTAGAAGGAGATCAGGTCGCAGGCAGTAGCCGTCCAGGTGGATCTGCCTCCTGCCGGCCTGAAATTAGGGGGAAGAAGAAGTCAAGGTGAGAAAAAATAAGCCATGAATGACTGAGAAAGTGACGAAGTTCCTATAGAGTTTAACGTTAGCTCTCTACTTCTGGCGATCGCATTAACACTTCAAAAACTCAACTTGCAAAGGTTGAAAACTCACAGTAATATATGAATACTGTCTCAGTGCACGACTCAATGTATGTGTGTGTGTGTGTGTGTGTGACCTGATGTCAGTGAGAGTGCACTCCAGTGCCAGAGCACCCGTCAGTGAGGGATGGAGGGGCCGCAGGTCGCTGATGTTGATCTTCACCTTGTTGCCATGGTCACAGCGCAGAACCTGATACCAGCCAATAGAGACGCAGTGAGACACAGTCAGTCAATGTTAACAATTCACATAACATTTAAATCATAATAACATTTACTGAAGGCTTTAAACTGGTGTTCTCTAACCCTTTACAGCAGGGGTAGGCAAGTAAGTTTGGACTTGCCTGGTTCCCCACAACCACACATTATGTACATATATGCTTAAACATGTGCATGTTACCCGCTCTATCGAAATCAGTCGGAAGTCGCACCGGCTTATTTCAAAATAAACGTGTATTTGTGTAAAAAAATAGTTTTCCGGTTTTGTGTTTGATTTTAAATAAACAAAGTCTTGGCTTTCAGAATATGACACTTTTATTTCCAAAATCAAACGATAAATACATTTTTGAAGCTTGTAAAGGGAAGATGACAGCTCTCACTCGCGCTCTGCTCTTCCGGCTAAATTATGAATGTAAGGCGTGTATAGTAATCATAGATAACACGGCAGGGTCCGTGAGAGTTTGTTTTCATCTGATTTCAAATAAACAAAGTCTTGGCTTTCAGAATATTAAACTTGTTTCGGCAAATTGCTTGTGACGGCCTTCATGATCAAGCGGCTTCCCCGATTTTGTTGTCAATGTTCTGATATCCTAAGTAAACATTACGTTTGAAAAAAATAACACCAGCTCACTAAATCATTCAAACCACACACACACACACACACACTGCATGTTGGCTATTTCAGCACCACGCGCTGTCCAGCTACTTATTGATCCACTATCAGCGTCAGTGCACCCCGCTGCCAGATTGTGCCTGTGCTGTGTGTCATTCACTCTCAACATGGATAAAAGTACAATAAGCATTCTTCAGGTGTAGTTAGATTCTCTATTCGTGCATTATAGCCTATATGTGCGACTGTCGGTCCGATATTGAAAAAAAAAAAAACTGATTATTGAATCACACATCCCTTATGCAGCAGTGATGTTTTGGATCAGGTTTTTATACCTCTGCGATGTTGTCTGACTCGACGTCGGAGCAGATCTGTCCTCTCTCCCAAACCCCGTCGATCTGAGCAGCGCAGTAAATGTCGGCCTTCCACATTATATCTTCGGCCTCCATTGGCGCACACTGCTTCTTCACCAGCTCACAGATCCTGAAAAAGGGTTTTAAGATTAGATTCAACTTTATTTTCATTGCACAAGTACTAAGACAATTAAATGCCAAGCAGAATTGCAAAAGAAGCAGTAAAGTGCAGAGAGATGTCTAGTATAATATGCTATATATCATGAATAACATTATGGCTCCAAAATCATGTTAAATGCGTTGGTGCTGAATATTTAAATATAGCCACGTTGGAAGTAATTGAATCACTAATTCTCAAGTTTTCTTTTTAATTATACTATATATATATATATATATTAAAGTATTTTCAATTTCATAGCATAGCATACCAGGTTTTAAGTATTATAGCCTAGTGATCTGTTGCCTTTTAGGAAGGAGTTTATGCAGCATTAAACAGGATAGTTGTATTTGTTTATTCCTGCTTTACCGAACGAGAAACGTATGTGTATCGTTACATCATAGGTCCAATTTATAGTCACTTTATATATTATATATGAAAAGTTTTAGCTTGTATTGTCAAAATGATACTTATACTGTCTGTTATGTGTGATTGCACCATCGGGAATGCTTGGAATTTCGCTGTACTCTGTGTAGTGACAATAAAGGAATCTAATCTCTGATCTGATCTCAATAGAGTGACACAGTGACGCGCCCTAAAACCCGGAAGTAAACTCCTTCCGGTTCCTTCGACAAAAAAACAATGCTATTTCTCCATAGGATTTTGGAAAATAGCTGGAAATAAGGTCTGTGGTTGAGACACATTTAAGAGACGGATCACGTTTTGTTCAGCCGGATAATCTCCACATGTCTACCCTACTTTTATAATTTTCTAATCGTAAATCTAGTCGCCAGAAGCAAAATGCTAACGTTATGCTATAAACGAACTACAGCAGGGTCGCTGCTTCAACATCACGCCAACTTAAGATCCATATTCAAAACTACAGATTCTAAATGATACAAGTTGAAGCGTTTGTTTGAACAGTTTGCAGGAGGCAGGCACTTGCTTTCAAGCAGAACAGGGCAAACTAACTTAGGAGTGTTTACGTGTTCGGTGTAATGACGTACAACGGCCTCGACAACTTCTGTAGTCCTATTCAGCCACTTGTTAACAACCATCGTTTTTCAGACACGTAAACTCTTCAGAAATCACCAGTGGGGTCACTGCTGATGGATTTAATGGCGTAGAACAAAACGTGATCAGTCTCTTAAATGTGTCTCAACCACAGACCTTAGTTCCAGCTATTTTCCAAAATCCTATGGAGAAATTGCATTGCTTTTTGACGAAGGAACCGGAAGTGGTAAATGCTAACTTACTTCCGGGTTTTAGGACGCGTCACTGTGGCACTCTATTTACTAAATTGTCTATCAATATGTAGTCAAATATTTGAGAATGGGGTTTTGTTTTTTAGCTGCTGACTTTTTGAGCTGGGCGTCGTTCTGGGTGAGCTGAACGTAGAAGCTGCTCGGTGAGTTGACGTGGCTGACTCGGACTTTCAGGTCTTTGAATTGATTGGGGAGCTTCAGCTGAGCATCAAACTCCGGCTGCTCCTCAGTCTGATCTCCAGGGGTTTTCTGCTCAGGAGTGTCAACGCTGTCTGTGTCCAAACCCAGCTCAAGTGGAGGGTCCCAAATGGCTTCAGTTGAGTCTTCAGCAGAGGACCTGACTGTCGGGGATTTAGGTCTGCAGGGAGCAGACCTAAAGGGAAACAAATGAAGAAGAAAAGATACATGAGAATAAGGATTGAAATTATTAAAACCATAAAGAAAAACAAAATATGAACTGAGAAAAAATTAAAGTCGGGATGCTTGATACTTCATTATACATTACCACTCTTTACATCATTTACAGTTTTTATATAAATTAGTACCATTGTTGTTCTCTACTGTCCTTTTGTACTGTGAAATGCATCATGCTGTGTTTATTAAGATAAAATACATATGGTTTGATAAGGATCCTCACATGCAAAACGTATACTAGCCTATGATCTAGAGCAGTGGTTCTCAACTGGTCGGTCGCGGACCCGTTGCGAGTGGGTCGCAGAAAAAAAGTCAAACTTTTTTTTTGAAGGCCCGATTTTCTAACGCTGTGCATTCAGTAGGCGTTGGACTGGAAGTACCGGAGACCATAAACGGTTTTGAAAACTTCTGTCACATAGTGATCATATTCTCAATAAAACATCTTTGCTGATGTTTTTTTGAGTCTTCTGGCCAATCAGAATCAAGATGGTTGCCGGAAGTCCCCACGGAGAATAACGGTAGAACTATTCTTTATACATCCATGGGTACAACTTCAGATAAAAATGAACACATAATGAAATATGACCCCCGGTTTGATGATTGACAGGTCACAGAACAATGGGGGCTATCTACCCTTACCCACAATTTAAAGTAATTCACACAGACTATCTCCTCTTTGCTCTTCTCTCTGTGAGGAGCAGCAAGTTCAGCTTCAGAACAAAGTGAAAAACAAACAATGGCATCAAATATTATTAATATGTCGGGTAGCAATAGATTGATTTATTTTCTTCTCAGAGTGTACCAGAATGCGTAGTTTATATGTTAGTATTTTAAAAAATCCCCTTCTGGGGTTAGGTTATGTTATGTTATAAAGTTCAGCTTTGCTTCCATCATCTCATTAAACCTTATACGGCATACTTTAGTTCTGTGAAGGGATATATGCACTGTACTTCACTTTAATTCATATTGTATGCTGAAAAGCGTATATATATATATATATATATATATATATATTACAGCACGATTTTTTGTTGAATAGATTTGAGTGGTTCAAAATTTCGGGTCGCGATTTATTGACAAAGAAAAAAGTGGGTCCCGAGGCCTGACCAGTTGAGAATCACTGCTCTAGAGAAAGTCAGGGACAAGAGAAAATAAAGTGCTTTTCAAGGTTTTATTAGTAGATATTTAACCTTTTCAAATGTGTATAAATAAAAATACTGTTGTTTAAAACGAAATTATAGTATATAGTTTTTTCCTCAATAACTTCTGGATATGTCAGTTGTTGAAGTGTCACCTGTCTTTGAAGGAGGCCAGCTCCTCTTTGACCAGCAGCACGGCGAAGTTGGCTTGTGGTCCGTTCAGACTGCTCTCAAACAGTTTGACCGGCAGCGGCTGAGACTTAGGCCTGGTTCCTGGAAGGCAACAGGAAAAACAAATTCAACACACACACAAATAATTTCAAAGTGAGACAGACACATTGGATTAACCTATGGATTAACCTTCAGCAGCGTTTTTAATCGTTTTAATGCCATTGAACACAACCTTTGATCAGAACAACAGCATAGGTAAAAATTTCTCCCGTGTTTGCTCCGTAATGCTACGTGGTGTGATGTCTGGTTTTGCTTCCCATGTTCTGATCGCTCAGTGATGATACTTATATGTCTGGAATCTAATCGATATCTTGTTTGTGTAGATCCGATAAGTAATAAGGGTATTTTACCGTGAGTTCTGTGCGTTAGCATTTTTTCACTCGGGGCTAATTCAGAGCCTTTGTCCTTTGTTATTACCCTTTAGTTTTGTTTAGCTAAAAATGGTTAATATTGTCTGAAAGCTGAGTTTCTTCCCGTTAAGTGAGTATGACAAATTCATAGTTTGTTAAATGTTAAGAAGTCCTCAGACGCTGTTTCTTGCGCAAGATGTTGCGTTTGCCCCCTGTGGAATTGAAGGCCACATTGGAGGATTCACAACAAACATAAACTAAGCTCCTCAATAGAGTGGCGAAGTCCCTCCCCTTCCGGTGGACCTCCATGGGACCTTATTTCGGAAAAATTATGTATTGAAGTCAATGGAGAGAGAAAGATTATCTTTCGATCCCGTTTGAATTGTGCCACGAATTACACATATGATGTTTGTCAATTTAAAAGATAATTTTGCAAGTCAAAAAAAAAAAGATGTGTCGTAAAACTGTGAACTAACACATTTTTTTGTGTGAAACGCTCAATGAACTACATCTCTGGTCTCACAGAACAACACACGTCACCAAGATGGCCGTCACTACTGTCTTGTCAACAACACGATTGACTACCCTAACTATCACCACAATGAAACACGTCCTGAAGAATGTCATGCAAAGCTGCCTGCCTGCCTTCCTTTGATTCTCTCTGATCGTTTTAATGTTTAATGTCAACCATTTGTGCAGATAGCATGAAGTAGAGAAGATCGTCGATGCTAGCGTTAGCTTTAGCATTTCTCCCCCGGGCTTAAATTGTGTATTATAGAATGATCACACCGGTGACAGTACTCTTCAAAGGGTTCACGAAATATGACTACTACTCTTACTGTTTAACATTTTGGGTTACTTCATGTTACTTAATGTTAAAGCTAATAAAAATGACAAGGCTGTAATGCTAACTAACGTGCTAGCTACTAGCTAGCTTGATCCAGACACTCCTGGTCCTTTCATCAGACGGGAAGCGAAAGAACGAGCAAGACCCATTGCTGGTATGATAACAACCTGGTACTAAGCACACAGGCATCTTGTTAAAGTTATCTTATCTTAGCCAGCGCCATATAGATAGATTATATCTATATGGCGCTGATCTTAGCTATTGTGACATCACTTACGCGACTCTGGGATTTGTAGTCTTTCTAGTTGCGTATTTTTCATAGTCTTATATTTCAACAGTTTTACGACAAACTCTGACTTTTTTTTACATGGAAATGATTTTTTAAGATTGACAAACATCATATGTGTAATTCATGGCACAATTCAAACGGGATCGAAAGATACGTTTTCTCTCTCCATTGACTTCAATACATTATTTTTCCGAAATAAGGTCCCATGGACCGGAAGTAGATGGGCGTGACTCCGCCACTCTATTATGGTTTTTGTCTTATTTGTTGGCAACCTGAACAAGTCCAAAACATTTGATAAAGTCAAAGAGTTGATATCAAATTGATTTCTGGCGTACCTGTAGCCACGATAGTGACCAGTTTCTCTTGAGCCAGGCTGACGAATCTGTTGCAGCAGGTCTCACTCCAGGTGTTTCCATCCAGAGGAATTATTTCTGACAGACAGCAGTGGATTGCCTGGAAAGCAGAAAAAACACTTCCTGAAAAAGTCTTATATTTACAGCACCCATAGATAATGTTTTCTTATCACAAAAGCGTAAAAATATTTATTAGTTGATCAGTTAAATCTTTGTTCTCACCATGGAAGGAAGGGCAAAGAACTCATCCTTGATCTTCCTCAAGTCGCTCACTGTCAGAATATTTTTGTCGCCGAAGTCGACATACTGTACCTCCACTTTCTTGCCAGCCGGATTACCTACACACACACACACACACACACACACACACACACACCCCATCGCTGTTACTTCAGTGTTTCCCCTAGGTTTACTGCTTTTGGGGGGTGCTGCCTGAGCGGGGGGGGGGGTGGCATTGGGATATATATTTTTTTAAATCCTCTGGAGCAGAGAGGAGCTGTGGATTATTGTTATTGATTAATGCATCAGTGTTTCTTAGGGTCAAAAACACTAAACTCACAACTTAAAATGAAAGTGTTTAGTTTATTTAATAAAAGAGCACATGTTCAATGTGAAAAGTGACAGTAGATATAGATTAGTTGCAATTTGGTGCTATATACATATAAAAAAAAAAAAATTAATGTTTTTTTTTTTTAAAACACCTTGAATTTCAGGGGGGGGCACAGGGCGCAGCGCCCCTCCAAGACAATGGTAGGGGAAACACTGTACTTTATCGCCGATTGAAAGACTGTGCACTCAAGGAAAAATACTCACGAGTTTTGTCCTGAAAGAAACAAGGATCATAAGAGAAACTAGAATGTTTGATTCGGCAGCTGTGTTTATGGATGTATATGTGCATGCTACAAACTGACTGACTTTAATAGTATAGTTATTATTCAATGAGTATTTCACTTTTCTTATTTATCAAGCGTGTGTTCAATCTGTTTTTATGGTCATATTTTACCTAATTTTATTGTGTTCAAAAGTTGTTTATTTGTTAACTACTTTAATAAAAAAAATACAACCCACTGTTACACACACACACTGTTACACACACACTGTTACACACACACACTGTTACACACACAGACTTATTGTACGATAAATAAAAATGGACTCGATAACTTTTTTGAGCTCGATAAATTGCCGTTTACATAAGGATGTGACCAGCATTTTAGCCAGGCGCGTGAGGGGTGGGGCTGACACACAGCCAGGTCAGGAGTCAGACACTCCGCGTGCAGCATCCAAATTAATAATATAGCGACAAGCGGGAGACAACGTGTGACTTACTCAAGGGGAATTTAAAGTGAAATGGAATTGGTTACAAAACCTAACTACACATCTCGATTCTCCGGTGTGGCAGTATTTTGGATTCAAGCCAAATGAACGAGGCCAACCTATGGATTTGAATGAGCCGGTATGTCGCATTTGTTTAAAAAAAGGTAGCGACAAAAGCTAGCAATACCACAAACTGCACCTGAAACACAACCACCCCATTCCGTTTTCCCAGCTGGGAGCAAACACGGCAGCTGGAGATGGAGAGCCCCCACCTTCCCGACAGTTTACTATCAAAGATGCATTTGCCCGACAATGCAAACATGTTGGTGTTCCTTGCTCGAAATCTTTGAAATAAAGATTTAGATATGGCCTGTTGAGGCATCTGGGTCTTTGTATGGACAGTGGACTGTACACTTGACTTGTTTTAAGGAGGGCTTTTTTGCTTGTGAGACAATGTGTGCATATATATATATATATAGATATAGATAGAGCTCTGTTTCCAGCCTGAGTCTATTTAATTTATTGTTTTGGTTGTGTGTGATTTAATTAATTTGTTTTATATATTATATATAATTTATATATTTGAATATTATTTCAAATTTAATTTGCAATGTTGGATGTTCAATAAAAAGTTCTGTTTGAAAGGATGTACTTGAATTATTATTATATATTATCATTATGTCAGTGGTCTAACATGGTCTTACAACGGAGCCGACAATATTATCGTTTATCGCAATAATTTCCAGGAAAATGTATCGTCCAACAAAATTAATTATCGCGACAGGCCTACACACACACACACACACCCTCACCTATGATCTGAGCTCTGCACCACTTGTCCTTGAACCGGGCGACGCAGGCCTGCTCCATCACAGGACAGTAGATGTTGAAGTCTTCATCTCCAGCCATCGTCGTCGCATTGTAACAATCCTGAAGCTTTGCAAAGAGCAGCAAAGACTCCATGTTCTCAACCTGGAGGGGGAGGAAGGGTGGGAGCAAAGAGAGAGTGTGACAACAGAGGAAATGAAACGTACAAAATATAGGGACAATAAAAAAGGAAACAATCTAATTATTTTTAGGAAGATGCTAAACGTGAAAACTGCTCTATTTTATCTTCAAAGTACATTTTCTCTCGAGTTAATCTTAATGATATTCCTAACATCTGTGCCCTGTTGGTATAAAGTGCATGTGAGCGTCTTTACAACCACCTGGATGTAGAAGTCAGCGGGGGTGTTGATGTGGGACACAACAGCATTGACCTCTGTGTAAACCTTGGGATAATCAGGAGGGTAGAACAGCAGCGTCCTCATGCCCAAATTCACTGGAGCATAAAACCTGAGAGCAGTTTTTGGAGAGAAGGCTAAAGTTAGGACCTGGACGAACACAATGGGTTTATTTCCCATATTTTCTTTTTACATGGTGCTTCATTTCAAAACATCTATAGAAGTAGGAATATTTGTAGATATTTTTTTACATCTTAAACAAAATCACATCCACACAATCTGAAAATGCTTCTAATGGAGAACCAAGCGGAAGAAAAATACAAAATACAATTTTTTTGATGTGATTTACATCTACTTGATCTGCAGGCCAAGCCAAACCTGCTGTATGGTCCATTTCTTGGATTTTGGAAACAATTATTTTTACCTAATTTCAATACATTTAGATTTTTGGACTCAACAAAAGTAGTTATTGAGTTGGAAACAATGCTACACAGCCACCACTGGAATCTCATTCTTGGAATATTATAATACTCATACATTTAGGCTAATCTTAATCTGCCACTCTGCAAAAATATGTGTTTGAAGACAGCTTTTCCGCCAGGGGGGCGTCTTGCCGTCATTTGACTTGAGTTTTTATCGCTTGAAATGACGAAAAGGAAAAAGGACAAGGACATCCCTCTGTTGGAGGGGCAAACGAGTCTGGTGGGATTATTTTCGCCGCCAGCAAAGCGTGTTCCTGTGACGAAAAGTGTACTGCTGGTGAGCCTTGACGGGGGGTGCTAGTGGAGCACGCGCGTGAACGGCGAGCGCCAGAGCCTCGCAGTGGCGAAACTGAGGCTCCGTGGTAAACTGTGGTAACATGAAGAGCCGTTTAGGAGCCGAAAGAGCCGGCTCTTCTTAGTGAGCCGAGCCAAATTCCCATCACTAATACGTAAAGAGATAGTATCTATAACTTAAGGGACGGCTCAATTCAAAATTCAAGTCACGTGACCCCCCCGCTCTCGGGGTGGACGCCCTCTCAGCCCTGGTCTGGCGGAAACACTGTTTGAAGAGGAGGAACAGACATTTGCATGTGAGAATTGAAATGTCTGTGTTATGAATACAGGCTTTAACTATTTGGTAGAGCTCTAATATATCGCATCAAATCAAATAAATACTTTTTTGAAAATCATAGTTTTTCGTGGTAAATAGCACGTGTACCTGGCCACTTCGATGAGGACGAGGTACTCTCTGACGGAGATGGGAACGCCACTGGACTGATTGACGGGAACTTTCCTCAGGTCCACCAGCAGACTGTCTCTGTCCTGACCCAAATGTCTCATATCCACCGCTGCAGAGCCCACCAGGCGGCTGAATTTCACCTCAGCATCTTTTTTCCAGCCCTTTGTCTGAACAAACAAAAACAGACAAAGAGTAAACACACCTACTCCTGCTGCTTTTTGGTAAAACCCCACAATATTAACAACATAAACACATTATGAAAACAAGCTGAAGGGAAAACACTTCACAAACCAGAATAGTGACTTTGGGTAACATGAGTGTATCCTGCAGCAGACTCTTAATTCTTAATAATTGCTTTTTTAATGTGTTATTTAAAATGTTTGAAACTGGAATGGACAGCATATGATAAAGCATTTATCCGTGTCCTCACCAGAGAAGGACATTATTATTACAAAAACAGATATTGTGTATTTAATAAAGTATCAGTGGTCTTACCAGGTCATAGGGGACCAGGTCCTTGAGGGAACATCTGATGGCCTGAGGAGCGAAGTCACTCAGCGCCCGATTCACCCCCTCAAACACCTTCCTCAGCTGGGTGTTCACCTCCTCCAGGGAAGACTCAGTGCTCCCCTCCTCCCTGAAACGGAGACAAGAGAGGAAGAATTAGTAAAAAAAATTACTGCATAACACACACCTTGAATACTGAGAAAAAATGCTCAAAAGAAAAAAAGGCATTGAAAAAAAACCAGTCCAAATAAATTGATGGAATAGTTTCTCTAAATAAAAGCAAAACAGAAATGCTAAAATAATCATCGATTAGAATTGTTTGATGTCATTTTACATGTACAATGAGAGAAATACATGCTTCTCCCTTTCAAAAGGTGCCATCAAAACAAAAAACATCATAACATAAGACAACAAATACACGCAGCATACATACTTAGGAATAAGGAATAAAGTGCAGTAATTATTTCCAGGGGTATCATCATGTGAAACATCAGAGGCCTGTACTACGAAGCCGGATTTTCGCTTAGCCGGCTGACTTCAGGGAAAACTCGGGCTTTCCGGTCCTACGACGCTGGTTCTCTTTTTAGCGGGCTAGATCTCCATGGTAACTTATGCTGAGCGGCTAACCTCCTCAGGAGCAGGTTAGGTTGCAGGCTAAGAGATCAACTCAGTGAAAGCACCGCCTGCTGACCAATCAGAGCTCCGTGTGCGGAGTTTAAAGCTATCAAGTCATATTACAGGATAGAGGAAATACAGAAAAACTGCCGTTGCAGGAAAGACAGCCGGCAAAAATCAACTGACTGTGTGAACGTGAAAATTAATAGAATATCCCCTCCCATCTTCAGAGCAATCTGACTATTATAATATTAGCGTCAAGAAAGCTTACTTAAATATCTGCCACAACATAAGTAGCCGGATCAGAGTAACATTAAGTACAGTCCGCGGCACTGTGAGTGCAGACGGCGATGTGTCCCATTATCATTCATATCATATCACATCATAATGTATCATATATTTCCTTATCCGAGTCAGCTTCTTGAGCCGTATCTGGCCGTGCAACACTCACAGTGTCACATACTGTATGCAGAAGTATTATTTTAAGCAACACATTAAGTTGACGAAACACTCGAGTCAAATGTAATTAAAGTCAGATCCACTCGTGTCTTGGACGGGGCAGTGATTTCATAAACCTGTTAATGTACGCATTCAAACACTTTCACCTTGCAGGTGCAGCTATGTGGCTTTGATCCTGGATAAAGTGTTTAAGTCATGGATGTTTAAAGTTTAACTTCTTCATATTTGACTAATATTAAAGTTCACTTTTCATTCAGGAAGTATGACGCTGCGCTGTCAGTACGCTTGTCCGTGTTTGAGATTGGTCGAATGCTCCAAATACCACCCCTTTCATGTGAACGCGCACCTAACTAGATAGGAGACGGCTGGCTTGAGCGATCCACTTGATAACCAGCGTCGTAGTACAGCTTAGCGAGAGCGCGTATGTTTTGGATTGGGCCAACCGGCTAACTCAAACATATCCAGGTTAGGAAAATCCGGCTTCGTAGTGCAGGCCTCTGGAGAGAGCAAGAATTGGTGTTTGGTGCGAGTGAAATCAATAGTTGAGAGCTTACTCCACCAGGCACAAAAAGCCAGCATTTTTTGGGCTGGAAAAGTAGGGAGTGCCAAGCTACATTTAGTTTTTCTGTCTAGTGCTTCAGAGAGCTTGTGGTCAAACTTGATTGCGGCAGTAAATGGAATTAAGACTATGATTTAACTAGAAACACAACTTTTGTTTCAAAACAGATAAATGTTTACACTATATAATGACTTCTGTCGCTGCCTGAGGAAACACAGGTGCCTTATGTCCATGAGCAGGACCGTTTCTTCCTATAGGCGGACTATGCAGATAGATATGCATAGGGTCCCCGCGGCCACTAGGGGGCCCCCAAGCTGAAAGTTCAGGTTCAGTCTCAATATATTTGGGGAGAATTCAAATTAGCCGTCTTTATTTGTAGACAGCCAAGCCCCCTGCTGTGTTCGGTGAAGCATTATATGCTTAAAAATCAAATGTAGGATATAAACACACAACTAAACTGCAATGATAGCAAAGCTGAGGCTTGTGTTTTTGGTGATCAATAAAGTCCAAATCCTTGTTGGGCCAACGTCTGAGGAAGATGAAAAATGTAAATTATACATTGTTGACAAAATGCTGCATCTCTTGCATTTATTGACGTAGAGGAGCCTTATTGTTTACATTTTTAATATAATTTTTTGTAAGTTTTAATAGCTTGGTTTTCGTGAAATTAGCCTGTTTTCCTCTTAAAGTGTAACAGCATCTCCACAGATCAATCTTAAAGGCTTCGGAATCCCCCCATTGTAGTTAACAAACTAGGGCCCCCAAACAGCTAGAAACGGCCCTGTCCATGAGTGTGTGTACCTCTGTATGGGGAGGCGTATGTTGAGGCCAGAGTCGAGGAAGAAGACTCGGACACTGGCCAGCTGAGTGACTGGACAATCTTTCCCTGCATCAACACGTCCGATCTGCAGGACTGAAATCACACGGGCCCGACACCACAGACCCTCCTTCGACTTCACAAAGATCAAGGAGCCTGGAAAGGAGCGGAGAGACAAAAAGCTGAATCACAAGCACTGTCAGTTTTACTCCACTGTGAGAGGGGGGTGTGATGTATTCTCTACATGATTACGAGGGTGTCTCATATCTATTATTATTATGTCATATATTAATATATCATGGAGAAGAAAGTAATTTTTGTAATGAAATAAACTGTCTCTTTTAAGTGTACAATAAAAAGCCAGAAGCTATTTATCAATCAATTATTGAATTCATAATAAATTAAGTGCTCACAGTTACAATGATTAATGATCATCATAAGGAGTGTACCTACTGTAGTATACTTTTTGTTTGATTTACTCAACTATAATTAAGTGAAGATACTGCCTGTAACCATACACTTTCATTGGTACATGGAAAATGCCTAAACTTGAAATTATAACTTGATATTTTTTCTCTTTTCATAATCTTTTTTAAGGCGAGACACTACAGGTGAATAGGGTAATTTTTTTAACTTAAAGATATCAGCTAGACATTTCTCCAGTTAATTACTTACATTAAGACAATTGTTTTTTGTATTAAAAGTTTTCTGAAATAGCATATTTAAATATGCAAATGAGCCATCATCTCATTATGCGCTATTTTAACACATTTGAGGAACACAAATCTGAACATTAGATAAAGCCAGGTTCAAAATTCTTGTTTCATTTTGTAGTCATATTAGAATCTAAGGCTTTTACAGAAGGGATTTTGGATATCTCTTTGTATCACTCCATAAATCAGAAAATACTGTCAACAGCCCTAAAATATCAATTTTTGCCATGTTTTTAGGTATAAAATGTTATATAATTCAGGCTATGGATGATATATGAACAAACCTTTCTGTAAAAGCCTTCAGAATATTGATAGGAATAAAACTGGAAGGTTTGGTGTATGTACGTGCTACTGAAGTGGACATTTCTCACTCAGAATAGGAGAAAAAACTCATTTTGAGAAAACGACCTTTAAAGATTGCTGTGTGGCGCTACCTAAACCCTCCTGTTCTCTGGATGATAGCTTGCGCCTCGACGCACTCCGTGAAGGTATTTCATGGTCAGGGTCATTTGTATAACCTTGCTTTGTGCAAGTGACAATTGTTGTCGTCTTCTCTGTGAAAGTTTTTTTCGCTGTTCTTTTGCCATTTTGAGATTTAAATTTCCAGCGGAAAGCTAAACCAGGAAGTGTTTTAGCACACCACGTGACGCATCTGAACGAATCACGTTGTCAGAAATTGACACCAGCCAATGAGATTTCGTTTCTTGGTTTAAGACTCTTTTGTACTTTCACGATTGGTTGCTGATACAAAGGAAATTACCATATTTGGATCCGATGAGATTGTGCAGGAGAGACGGAGCTTTCCAACGATACCTCTGATTACATGGTGCAAACAGCGGTCGCGGAACTTTATGTTACGTTAGAATGCTAACTTTTGGTGAACTTGGGAGAAATCTACAGACGCAAATAGACAAACTATAGTAAAAAAAACACTTAAATGTGTATTTTGTACATTTTCCTTCCAAAAGCATGAAAGAAAACATGTTATGGAATCAAAATAGCACAAAATCTCAAAATTGACCAGTGCATGAAAAACTGTTTTTGCCTGCCGTGTCTCGCCTTAAGGACACAAAACACATACCATTCTCCACTGTGTCACTGGAAGTAAAGTGACAACTGTGTCTGCTGCAGAAGACGTTTATCTTCTCGGAGAGGTTCTCGCTTTCGCTGTTCTCCGCCACGTAGCGGACGTAGAAGTGACTTGGATTCACAACGTGGGTTACAATCACCATCTGGAGGACTAGGAGAGAGGAGAACCAGAGAGGGAGGAAGGAAGGGGGAAGAGGAATCAAGAGGGTAGGGAGAGAAAAGACATTTAAAATCCAGGTCATTGGGTTACAGACATACAACATTAAAATAACTATACAACAGTTGACTATCCCTACGATCTGCCTGATTGCCAAAAGACTGATTTCTCTTTTTCCTTTGGATTCTCCCTGCGTCACTAGCCAGCTCAGGGCCGGTGGGCGGGGGAGCTGCAGCAAAATAGAAAGCATTGGCAAAAAGATATGAAGGTTTCTCCTCTGCCTCAAATACAGTCAACTTCATGTTCTGATTTGATGTGACATTGATTAAATCAAAAACACACCATGTTGTTGTTCCTTGTACAGCTCCTCGATGATTACGTCTGGATCTCCAGAGTATGACGTGTCGTTCTGGCGAGGACGGTTGGACCTGCCAAGAGGTTTTGGGCTCGGAGAGGAACCTCGGGATGACGGACTGCAAGATCTCGGGCTCTCCTGGTTTTGTTTTGGTGGACTGGGCAGGTCGTTGCCAGAGGGAAAGTTATAGTTTCTGTCCCTGCCCTCTGCACGCTGCAGTGAGGACTTCCTGTTGAAGCTGCTCGGCTCATGGTGTTTGGGCGGCGGCTCAGACAACCTAAAAGAGAACAGCAAGAGGACTTGGTTACAAGAAAACTATTTCATGCAATATTCTCAAAACATAACACACATTGACTTGACAAACACTACAGAGAGCAGATGTAAGATTTGAAGTATTGCTTGGTGTAGTTTGTTCCTGTTCATCATTGTACAGAACCAAGAGCATCCCCCACCAGAGTTTGTATTTTGCCGGTCAACATGTCCGTTAAAGTTTAAATCTTCCGGACAAAATGAGAAAAGTGCCGGTCAAAGGTCTTCTTTGTTATTTATTGAGCTTTAAAACAAATTGATATGATTCGATATTAAACAAACTAATTATAGTAGATTAACTACATTATTCAAAAGTGTACAGTGACTTACAATAACACGGGAATAATAAACGGAGCGCTCTCTCTCTCTCTCCTGACAGCCCGCCAGTATCATGCAGCTCGCGGATCCAGTAATGAGTGACCCGACAGTAAAACTAAACATATCTATAACTAGTTTAGGTAGTTTGAGAGGTAATTAAAATAGCTACCTGTGATATTCTAACCTGAAGTGTGTGTTTTGCTCCGCTCACCGCTGCAGGTGATCATGCAGAGCTGTGTGTCGACTCGTCAGCAGCAGCTGGTCTCTCTCTACCGTCAGATTAGACTTTACTCGCGTTTACTCGATCAGATCTAGCTAGTTCTAGTTAATGATATGACTACCTGCTTATCAAGACACCTAAACAATAAGCGTCGCTATGCAACCGGGTGAGGCCACAAAGTATTGCGCAGCATAATGCATTTGCTTACATGCCCACCGGAACCCCGAGGCATTACCAACAGATCAACGCACAATCAACCCATACAGGACATCTCTTTCTCCACATTAAGTGTGAGACATTAGAATTGACTCTTCTTGTCTGTCACACACTCTTCTTGTCCGTCACACACTCTTCTTGTCCGTCACACTCTTCTTGTCCGTCACATACTCTTCTTGTCCGTCACACAATCTTCTTGTCTGTCACACACTCTTCTTGTCCGTCACACAATCTTCTTGTCTGTCACACACTCTTCTTGTCCGTCACACAATCTTCTTGTCCGTCACACACTCTTCTTGTCCGTCACACACTCTTCTTGTCTGTCACACACTCTTCTTGTCCGTCACACACTCTTCTTGTCCGTCACACACTCTTCTTGTCCGTCACACACTCTTCTTGTCCGTCTCACACTCTTCTTGTCCGTCTCACACTCTTCTTGTCCGTCTCACACTCTTCTTGTCCGTCTCATACTCTTGTCTGTCACATAAGTGGCGCAACTGATGCGGTATTGCGCTAAGGGAAAATTATTTTGACCGGAGAGATTTAGATTTGCCGGTCTTCAGTATATTTTACCGGTCAAAGTCCGGTAATTACCGGCTAACGGAAACTCTGTCCCCCACACAGAGGGCTGCACATTTAACACAAGCAATGTAAACTTTTCTTGCCGGAGTTCATGTTTTTGTAACAATATGGGCCCTTTAAGATAGAAAAACTACAACAATAAGTTCAACAACAGTAACCTACAGTAGAATCATGTATTTAACAACAATGTATGCTGATATCTGAAGTTGAATAGAAGAGAGAAACTCTCCTCATGGTCAACAGACTGGCAAAAACAAATGCTGTGTAATGATGCTCTTTGTTGAGGTTTACATTTCCTGTTCTTAGAAAAAATAGAGCATTTGAGAGACTTTGAACCCTAACTGAGTCCAGGGTTCTTACTAGTGATGTGTCGGTCGCGAACGAGCCGGCTCTTTTAAGTGAACGACGGGAGCCGGCTCGCGCCCGCGAACGAGCCGTTTTTTTGTTTTTGTTATTTTTTGTTAAGTAATACAAGACAGAATGATATGATGATCTCCGCGCTACAGCTGCTCCGTGCATGCATGCAGTGGCATGACATATCCAAGGATTAGAGACTGTTGGATGCTGCTGTTTTGAGCATTGCAATACATTTATTTGTATTATGTTTTTTTATGATTAGAGACGGTTGGATGCTGCTGTACTGAGCATTGCAATATTTTATTTTCACTATGTTATTTATTTATGATTATCCTTGGGCTCAGCAAAGATTTGATGTCAGCTGTTGCTGTCTTTTTTTCTATAGTTAATACTGAAATAGAGCCCTGCTGTTTTGTCAGGGCCTTTTCTTTAAATATAATTTTAAAATGTCGATACAGTAGCTCCTTTTTTTAAATGTCTATGCTTACGTTTTTATAGGTGTTGCTATTTGCTTTGTGTATCGTGGTTCTACAAGCAAGTCTGTGCATTCATTGGGTGGTATCAGAGAGATACAAGGGTCTGTAAATGCAATGAAAACAATTGGCCACAGCAAATAATTGATATTAAACATGTAATTTTTACTTTTGAATACTTCAGTACAAAGGATGTATTGAATAATTTAAGTGATATGTGTACACATATAAATCATTAGTCAAAACAGGGCTACATTTGATTGAATTATAAAAGGTATAATATGTGGTAAACTGAAGAGCCGTTTGGGAGCCGAAAGAGCCGGCTCTTCTTGGTGAGCCGAGCCAAATGATCCGGCTCACCAAGAAGAGCCGGAATTCCCATCACTAGTTCTTACACCTTTTCCAAAGTCAAATTCAAGCACTTTTCAAGCATTTTCAAGGTGCATTTTCAAGCTTTTCAAGCATCTTACAGCTGTTGTAAATTACATATTTATATACACATACTTATACTCAAATGATTATTTCCCTACCTCACATTAAATCAGATGTTCTTTATGCTATAAACAACCAAATGTGTGTTTCATAATAGCATTCTACATGAGGATGAACAATTAAAAATGTTAGAAAAGAAAACTAAGTTTAATATTTCAAAATGAGTGACCCATCTGTACGTAGACTGGGCATCCCATATAACCTGGCTGAGCCAATATAAAACAATTAGCCAAATAACTTTTCAATATATTATTGATTACTATTTTTGAGGTACTTTTAGGTTGGCAGTAAACACAAGTCAGAGGTAACTGGTGTACTTTGACTCCACTACATGTATTTAATACCTTTAGTTACTTTACAGATGTGGATGAATGATGTGAAATATAATCAAGTGTTAAATCAGACTTTAGTTCCACCTGGAGTAAATTCACAAGCTACTCTGTAGTATACAAAGTCATTCAAACTAGCTGCACCTTTACCAGCTTTGATAACACTTTAATGATCAATCATTATAAAACATATCATATACAATTATTAGGGATGCTCCGATCGCCAATTTTGGAGCCGATCGCCGGAATCAGTATCGGCCGATACCGATATCGCTCTCTTTTCCTCTCTCCCTCTCTCTCTCTCCTGACAGCCCGTCAGTATCTCCTGCAGCTCACTGATCCAGTAATGAGTGACCCGACAGTGAAGAATAAATATATTTATAACTAGTTTAGCTTGTTCCAGAGGTAGATAAAATAGCTAAGTGTGTTAGGTCTAACTCTTAATGTGTGTTCTGCTCCGCTCACCGGTCGGTCACAACGGGTGGAGCTGCAGGATTTCTGCTTCACACACACGTTGCATACCGCTATTTTATTGTCATTTTCGGACACCTTAAAATACTGCCAGACTAGTGAAGCCATTTTGGCGAGCTTGTTTTGCCGCGCACAGAGAAAAGTGTCATGTATTTTACATGCAACGATAGCCTAATCTAAAATGTTCTTCTACAGCGTACCTTTCGTGTGGTGTGTGGCTCGTCAGCGCAGACTCTCGCATCGTTATTGTTGCACACTTTGCAGGAGGCTACTCTTGGGCTTCGCTTGACCCTCGTCTTAGCCATGGCTTGTATTTGTCTTCTGCTAGCCAACGCTCGTTGAAACGGCAACCTCCTGGCATACTGTCATCTATCACTCTCAGAATGCCCAGGTCACACACGTAACAAAAACACTTGCCGGTCACGCGCATTGCGCGGGAAGGCTGGAGCGGAGCTGTTTTATGTAAAAGCGAAGCAATTAAGCGCGCTCCGACTTCTTTATTTTCTTTTAATCTAAAAAGCGAAGTAAAGCATTTACAATTTCAAGCACTTTATCCCAAATTCAAGCACCATTCCCAAAATTCAAGCACTTTTCAAACCTTGAAAACACCTCGTACAATTTCAAGCATTTTCAAGGATTTCCAGCACCCGTACGCACCCTGTGAGTCTTAAATAAATAACACATTAGTGAGATATTTAGGGACTCACTGCTTTGGGTTGCCGACTTCAATCGCCAGAGACAAAGCCAGACTCTGTTTCAGACCATCGATCTGGAAAACACTGCTACAAAACAAACAACACATACATATATATATAAATCAAAAAAACATTATAGGTCAAAGTCTGTCTCTTATTTTTGTTTGGCTTCATTTATATAAGAAAATAGCAGGGCAGAAACAGTTTCAAGTACATCAATATTTCAAATGTATCTTTTGAAATATTATGTATTATTATTATTATTATTATACTATGTTGTAACCCTTTTACCTTGTGTATTACTATACCTTATTTGTATCATGTATACTGTTGCAATGGTGAAATAACACATCAGGTCCAACATAAAACAAACAAACATCAGGCATAAAATTACCAACCTCAATCCAGAGCCCAGAGTAATGCATTTAACATCGAAGGACTGCTCATCTATAGGGGCCTGCAATGTCTCCAGAACCTGTCAAACACAAACAAGCGGCTTATTAAAAAGCTGTATTTTCAAATCAATTTGCTTAAATGAATTGAATTGATTCATGTAAAACAAGGGACAGTGTACATTAATCAACATATTAAAAACATGTAAAAGTACTCAAATTAGCCAAAAGGCTAGTTTTCACAGATAGTCCCTTTGCCAGATGGTGACAGACATCCTAAAAGCAAGAATTAAAATACCACAACATTGTTATACCAAAAAATAAATAAATAGACGACATCACTGAATACAGATAAGAGCAAGTCATGATAATAAATAAAACATTCACAATACGCACTCATACTAACACCTACACCCACACATCAGTGCTGATTATTAATGAGACACTTTTTAACACTGTGCTTGAATGTGTAGTAGGATGAGGATTCTCTTATTGGTTATGGTATTGAATTCCATTGATGGGATGCGTGGAATGAAATGCACTTTTCCTCAATGGGATGGTCTCCCCTAGCCGCACCTCTAGTAGCCCTGGTTGAGGTGGGCTTTAGGCTGATGAAGCCAGCCAGAGGAGGAGGAGCCAACCCACGAGTGATCTTATAAACTAAGCAGACATTTTTGTAAACAATGAGATTTTCCCAGCTGAACAGATTATATTTTTTAACAATGTGACAATGATGATACCGGAATGGCTTTTTGTCTAGTGTTTTGAGTGCTTGTTTATATAGTGATTCCAGTGGTTTTAGAGCTGTAGAGTGTGCATTATGTGCATTTCTTTAATGGGGAAATTGTGGGAAGGGGAACGTAAAGGCTGCATTAGACTTAACATGCATTTACAGTAGTCCGTTAGCATCTGACCTTACATTGTATGCTTCATTGACATGTTCATACCTTATCCAGGGTGCAGTACTGCTCCAGAAAGGGGACACGGCGTACTTCTTTGGCCATTTTCATGGCAATCTCCAGGGCCTTCAACTTCTTCTGGACGCGGCACAATTCTGCTCTGCCGGTGGAGAATCGATCATTTAATTTCGTGAGCTGACTCATCTGCTCATCCTTCCTGTTGACAGAGAAATCACATGCTTCTGTTATCCTTAGAACAAGTCTGATATGTAAGATTAACAAGATAAAATAAACAATCTGAAGAGACAAAAAAGTGTATGTTTACAGGTTTCATATGAATTGTTTCCTGAAGAAAACAGATAACATCCATACCACTTCTGAATAGCTTGTGAAGCCTTGTCTGCATCTTGCTTGATCTCAGACTCCAGCCGAGCTCTTTCGCTCTTCACCTGATCTGCCAGACCAGTCTGAAGAGTCTGCAGAGATGAAACAGTCAAAGAATATAGTTTTTGTTAATTACTTATTCGATTCAAATGCTAATAACAATGTTTAAAATCAAGCCCTACATTGTGTGTGAAATTTACCTCATTGATTTTGTCAAGAAGAGCATGATTTTCTGCAGCCTGGACCAACGCCTCATCCACCGCCGTTCTAATCTTCTCAATATCAGCTGACTGAATAAAGCACACAAACAGGGAGTTATTTTTGTATTTTTTCATTTCATTTCCACCTAGAAACTCCTGGGTTCACACCATAGACTGTATATATAAAGGTTCACATCAACCTACCTGCTCAACATCCTCGGTATTGGCGTTAATGTCCTTCAATGGGGATGATTTGTCCTTTTTGCGATAATTTGATCTCCTGCTGTTCAGGAGAATAAGACACCAAAACAGTTAGGTTAGGAGCTACAATCTTTAAAAAAAAAACTATAATACAGGTAATTTAAAAATGTATAACAACATTTTACCTTTCCCGATTAATTTTAGAGGTGTAGATGAGGCCAATGATTCTGCTATCTTCCTGCAGGCCAAACACCCCACCTTCAGGAAGGGTGGAGTCCACCTGCAGAAAGTGAACTTTATGTATTTATTGACATCTCATACCACCTTGGCATCCTTGAACTGATGCTTCAGTATCCTTATGACAGTACCACAGCCTTGGGTTGTACAGTACCCAGTGTTTCCCATACATTGATTTATTTGTGGCAGTGGTTCTCAACTGGTCAGGCCTCGGGACCCACTTTTTCCTTTGTCAATAAATCACGACCCGAAATGTAACCACTCAAATCTATTCAACAAAAAAATCGTGCTGTAATATATACGCTTTTTTCAGCATACAATATTAATTAAAGTGAAGTACATTGCATATATCCCTTCACAGAACTAAAGTATGCTTTTAAAAAAAGCTTTAATGAGATGATGGAATCAAAGCAGAACTGTGTAACATAAAAAAGGCACACATGCTGAAAACCCAACTCCAGATTTTAAGAAATACTAACATATAAACTGCGCATTCTGGTACACTCTGAGAAGAAAATAAATAAATCTATTACTACCCGACATATTAATAATATTTTATGCCATTGTTTGTTTTTCACTTTGTTCTGACAGCTGAACTTGTCTGTGTGAATTGAACGTGACAGAAGTTTTCAAAACCGTTTATGGTCTCCAGTACTTCCAGTCCAACGCCTACTGCATGCACAGCGTTAGAAAATTGGGCCTTCAAAATAAAAGTTTGACCTTTTTTTTTCTTCTTCACTCACACATCTGCGACCCACTCGAAACGGGTCCACGACCCACCAGTTGAGAACCACTTGTCTAATGGATAGTGAGGTGGGCTGATGATTGGAAGGTTGCGAGTTCAAATCCCACCTGGAACACCACTACTAGTGTGTCCTTGAGTAAGGCACTTAGCCCTCAGTTACTCCAGGGAGAATATCCCTGTCATTGTAAGTCGCTTTGGAATAAGGCGTCTGCTAAAAACCTAAATTGTAAATTATATTTTTGGGAGATGAAACCCCACAGATCCTCAACTCCGGTGTGTCTCACTCATTAACAACGCAAAACAGAGCAACAAGAATGTCTACAGTAGCCATGAACTTGCATGTATTTTCTTATTTGAGGGGGGGGGGGGGGGGGGGATGTGTGGGCCACACAAATAGGTTAAGGGGCATTTGGCTTTTCTTGCCGGGGGGAGGGGAATCAAATTCTGTGGGAAACACTGGTACCACATGTTGCACCTCCTGTTTTATACTTACATTGTGAACAAAAGTAACCAACGGGCCATGATTATTTATAGAGGGAATATGTGACATTTATTTGCGTCTTTGGCTTGTCAATTTTCTTTAATATATACCAAACCTCATTCTACAATGCTACACTTATTTTATGATATAATTACTGCTGCTACATACTTATCCACCAATTTGGTAGAGTTACAATAGCTACATTTTAAGGATGCAGGCAAAAATAGAAAATAAAGATTTTCTGACTTTTATTCAATTATGAGATGATTTGGTCCCTACTTGAGTCACTTTACCTTACACTTGGGACAGGTGATGACATCGTCACTTTGAATGGACAGCAGGCAGGATGTGCAGTAGATGTGGGAACATAAAAGCACACGAGGGAGGTTGCCTTCAACTTCGTCCTCTGAAAAAGAGGAAAACACACAAAGATAAGCAGGAATAATGCAACTACAGTAGGGCTGTGCAATTAATCGTATTTTAATCGCAATTACGATTTTGACCTGCCACAATTACGAAAACAACATAATCGAAAAAAACAATTATTTTGCTTTGCTAGGTTGTGACAGTGCAACATATTTGATCTAATTAATTTTGGTCTCATTTATTTGTATTTACATATGTTTAGTAGCTTGGGGAAGTGCGCTCCAAAATATTTGTTGATCTTGTTTATTGGTATTTATTATTTTGATATTAGTTATTTAAATGTATAATTTATTTTTGTATTGGTTTTTCAGTTGAATTATACGTTCAGGGTAATCAACAGTTAAAAAGATACTGTTCAAATTATTATTTGTATTTGTTTTAAAGTTCAATAAATGGATGTTTTCAAAGTCAATGAATAATCGTATTTAATAATCGTGATATCAATTATTGACCCAAATAATCGTGATTATGATTTTTGCCATAATCGCACAGCCCTACACTACAGTGTAAACTATTTATGCAAAATGCAATGCATTTTTATAAAGGTGATATTACTAATGTGTGTTTATTGAATTGGCCCCTAGCCCATGGATGTATAATAAGAACAGCCCCGTCATTTTGCTAAACAAAATGTCCCCCAGGCAAAGCAATTTTGAATATTCCTGACATTAAACCAAAAACTTACGAGCAACTTTTTCCAACTTATTCTGCTTGTAAATAATAATGGGGAATATTTTACTCGGAGTTCAAAGAGCAGGTTTCGAGTCACACTGGATATTTAGGTTGTTTCCTACAAAAAATGTACGTTGCTATTGCTAACCATGTAAGCTATTGAGTTTCGGCCATGTGTTGAGGCTCTTTTGTAAGCACACTTTGCAGAAGGAACCACATCTTCAATCGACCTTACAAGATGGATAGATTTTATGATACGTTACATTTAACACGCTTCAAAGACAGATACGTATACTAGTTATGAGACTTTCGAGCACCTGCAATTTGCACAATTGGCATTAGTTGCATTAATTAGCATACATTATGCAGACAAGAGCTACAAAATGGCGTGGCCGATTCGGACAACTTTGGTGTGTTTTTATAAATGTATATTGAGGATGCTAATCAATTTCTGACATTTGTAGGATTAAAAAAGTCAGTTTTAACCAAAAAGTGGCCTTATTTTTACTCTTTTATTCGATTTTAAAGTCGATTGAAGTCGGTTTTAACGTAGGGGACTCAAAAGCTGCCATTTTGTATCCTTAAAATGTCGGAAATTGATTAAACACCCTTAATATTCCTAAGAAATCACACCAAAACTGTCCAATTCGGCCATGTCATTTTTTAGCTAATGTCACATATGCGTAATAGTGCTAAATTATCAAACTTTTCAACATTTCCAAAAAACGATTAGCTAGCTGCTACTGTCTTGCTAGCTAGCTAGTACTAGCTTCCTAGCTAGCAGACGAATTGAGGTATTTCAACTAACTTAAATTATCGTAAAACACGATTTATCCGAGCTCTAAATTAAGAGAAAATGACTGTAAACTTCCTACCGGGCAGAGTAAAGGCTTCTCCACATAGCGTGCACATCTCAGCGCTGGGGTAATCGCCTCTTTCCATCATCATCATTTTGTATTTAAAAGTGTAGAGGCGTTTTCTTTCGTCTGAAAAACAGAAAGGTGCGGTCGTCGTTGTCACTTGCCCACGTGGTTCAGGTGCGTTCAATGTCCCACCCTTGAATAATGGAGAATCATTTGTCAAAAAACGGCAGTGCTTGTCCAGCCGATCAAACTCACAAAATGTAAACATTGAATACAATATACACTTTACAATTCACATTAATTAATCTATTGAAATGCCATACACGTTTTTTGCTCAAATATAAATCATCATCAATGTGCAGTGTTACTTTTAAATCTCGTGTGACATCATTTTTTGAACACTTTGATGGACTGTCATTAAGAATTGTGTCTTGTATAAGAGCTATAAGTTAGCTCGGCTGGCAAGAACCAGTATACCAGCAAATTGTCTTAAGATAAAAGGCTAAGACATAATCTGCTAAACAGCTATTTTGATAGAAAAAAAGTATTGATGTCATCTCAGCCTTGGCAGCTGTGATAAAGAATAAAGTCAATGGCCTAAGTGCAAATGATGTACTCTTTTCGGTGGCCACTAGGAGGCACTAAAGACTAGAGCATAGGCCTACGTCACACAGGTCATATGTGGGGTGATGGGTTCACAAAGGCCAGATGGGAAAATTATACCCTAGAGATCTTCAAATGTGCAAATATTCACTATCTTTTTCCTGAAAATGGTAAGTAAGCCTCGCTAGCATCACATTTCACCCAACTGAAGATCTCCACTTCATCCCTTTGTCTTTGGATCTCTGGGTTACAGGTGATGGTGAATGGATATTTTGGAAGATGCTTATTTTACATGAAGTGAAAGCTCTTTTTGTACCAATGTGTTTGACGCCTTAATGGATTAATTGTAAATAAACAGTGCAAGCTTACATCGTTTTAACCATGTTGTGTTTCTACTTTTAGTAAGTTATTATCTGATTAGATAGATAGATCAGAAAGACAGATAGATAGATAGATAGATAGATAGATTAAAACAATAAAAAGCAAGTATATATACATATCAATGGTAGAAAGGACATGAACCACAAATCATTCTCAGTATAAAATGGTCTAGATAAGTTAGACTGTTCTATAAAAGACCAAAATACTACAGCAACAGAAATATAGACTCACAGTATATAACATATATTTATATATATTACAGTAGCAGAAACATATACGCATATGATAGTATATAAATTCCAGATGTGTAAAATAGCTGTTGTGCAAAATGTTCATGGAGAGGAAAGGTGTATTTTATGTTATGTTGCTTTGTGTGATATATTCTTTTGTTTGCTTTTGAACCAATTGCATGGCTCCTCAGCAGAGCTAACGGCAGCATGTCGCTCCTCTCCTCCATCCAGCATCACACCGCCGGAGGACAATGGCCAGCCACCAAATGAAGCAGCAGTAACAGGAAGTGACAGCCGATAGAGAGCAGAGAGCCACAGACATCAGATGGTAAAGGTAAATTGTGTAGTATGCAACACGGCCAGGACTTTAACCTTCAGAGAGCGTTCATCCAAATCCCTGGAGGGGGGAATTAAAGTGCAGCGCATCACAGGGGTCTCTCCATTTGATGCTGGCAGGATACAGCCCTGAAGAACAAGTTGAAATACATGTGTTTCAACAGTTCGACTCCCACCTCTGCATCGCTGTCCCAATAAATACGGCTCCTGTTGTTGATCTGGAGAGAAAGTAGACCACCTTGGTGTGAGGTGTCAGAACGCCTGCAGGTTTAAAATACACCTGTCTGCTAATGGGAGGCAGGAAAACATCCCTGATCAGTTAACACATTGGCCCAAGGATGTTTAACACTACACATGTATCTGACACACCCACTTTTTTGTTAAGAAAATGCACAAGTTTAAACAACACAGATACAGACTGATGTTACCAATAACTCACATATATAACACAAAGCATATAAACAAACAAAGAAAACGAACGTACACTCTGAGTTACTTTATTTATTTGACAAAATCCTAACAGGAGAATCACCAAGACACTGTTACTCTGGAAAAAATAGATATTTTACGTAGAGTATTTTGGGAAGGGCTTTGCAATTGAAAAAAGAAAATAAATACATTACATTCAAAAATAACAATAATAACAATGTTAATTAATAATAATTTCCCAAGTGGCGGCATTTTGCAACATGTACAAATATTGTTTTAACATAAAAAAAACAATTGGTAAAAGTGTTTTACATGTATGAAATACTGCTAAATATTCCCTTCTCCTCGTCTGTGAACAGGTTTTATTGAATTCCTGTTAAACAAAAGAATATTTTCTCCTTCCTGCTGTCTGAATTCCAGCAGATGGAAGGAGTGTGGAGTTATTTATGAATCTGGGCACTGAAGGAATCTGGCCATCGGTCTTCACCAGGGCAGGGGGGGGGGCAGGGTGTGTGTGTGTGTGTGTGTGTGTGTGTGTGTGTGTGTGTGTGTGTGTGTGTGTGTGTGTGTGTGTGTGTGTGTGTGTGTGTGTGTGTGTGTGTGTGTGTGTGTGTGTGTGTGTGTGTGTGTGTGTGTGTGTGTGTGTGTGTGTGTGTGTGTGTGTGTGTGTGTGTACCAGGGTGGGGGGTAGTAGACGTGTTTACTATGTGTAATGAACCAATCAGCAGGCCGCCCAGGGGGGGATGTGGGGGTGCCGGTTAGAGGAATGGGTCGCTCCCCATCTTTCCTTTTCCCAAATGTGGGTCACTTCCCATCCTCGGGTGATTTCCCTCGTGTTTCCGTAGAAACAATAACCCTCCTGCACCCCCCGAAACCCTTATCAAGGCACTTACTCGTTAATAATGCTCTTAATTAATCTGTATTATCCCGTTAGCTGCCTCCTGATGTCTCACACAGGCTTTGTACAGCCATCCGCCCCGTTCAATGTTATTATCCAGTTATTTCCTGAACCACTTATTGTGGGTCATCTCTTATGACAGGGGAGGATGTCTATAGGAAGACGTGTATTTGTGTATACCTCAAAGGTCTTATTGGAAAACAACCTCTCTACGTTTCCTTTGTTTCCCTCCGTCTGTTCACAATGTATAAGTAAAGGGCAATATTGAATTTATTAGATTGACAGCTGTGATTCAGAACTGTGGATCTTCTGGGAACCTTCAGAATAACTAGATATTAGCAAGTCCATTTGAAAGGAGTTCATTAATATTGATGTTACTTCAGCAAACCTCTAACATATAGCTTTTCTTCAAAGGAACCATGATTGGTCACCCCCTTCAGATGAACAACACAAGGTACATTAATAGTCCATTCATTAATATTGATGTTATTTCAGTAAACCCCCACATAGGTTTTCTTTAAAGGAAGCATTACTGGTCATCTCTTGTGATTGGGGATCATGTCTTTTCAACCTCCCTCCTATTCCTTTGTTTCCCTCCTTCTGGTCACAAAGTAGTATTGGGTATGATTTATTTAGTGGATGGACAGCTGTGCTTCACAAATCAAATATCTTCTATGATCCCTCAGATGAACCACACAAGGTACATTAACAAGTCCATTTAAAAATATTCCATTAATATTGATGTTACTTTGGCAAACCTCACAGATTTTCTTACAGTGAAACGTCATTAGTCATCCATCTAAGTTTTAATGTTAATTTCTTGTGACGGGATGATGTCTATAGGAAGCCGTCTATTTGTGTGTACCTCAAAGATCTTAAATTAAACATCAACCTTCTTCCTATTCCTTTGTTTCCCTCTTACTGATCCTAAAGTAGTGTTATAGTGTAACATTGAATTTAACACATTGACACCTGTACTTCAAGAGTCAAATACAAACCATATATTAACAAGTCCATCTAAAAGGAGTTCCTTAACATTGATGTTACTTCAGCAAACCTCTAGTCTAACATATAGTTTTTCTTCCAAGGAAACATATTTTTCCATTTGATGAACCTTTTCCTTTGACTCATGGAAGAAGCCCCACTGACCCACTAGCTTTGTGAGCATGGTGTTCTAAAAACATCTTCTCTCTTTCGTGACCGTCAGAAGGAAAACAAAAAAGGTCAAGAGACATGTAAGGTCCAGGAGACTCAAGGATTGGCTTTAAGTGGTAGCCCCCCTCCCCCCAAGGCCATTTGGTCGCAGCATGAAGAGAGCAAGTGCGATGGCAAATGACATTCGCTATACCTTCCTCTCTTTGTCTGCTCATAGAAAGAGCTGCCATCACACAAAGAGGAATCATTCTCCAGGAGTGAGAGAATGTATTTCAACCCAATCAGAAACAGTCTTACATCTGGCTGTAAGGCAGATCAATTAATTATATTTTATACATTTTTAAGCAAATTTCTTCTTTTTTTTTACGTCTCTGAAGTCTTCTTTTTGTTTTGATTGGCGAATATCTGCCTGAGCGTAGTGGTTATAATTAGATCCAGGTCAGCTGACACAAACAGACACAGGACTGCTCTTTTTTATGTGAACAGACCACATTACACATGACCGTAATGCTCTTGATATTGGGGTTGGGGGATGTTTCATATTTGTTTACAATACCCTCAAAATGGACCCATTATATCCATCGGGTGCAGATTTCCAATTTACAGCCTTGAGCGATTTTTATGGCTCTAGGCTGTTTTCAGCAGCAGCCTTTTTGGGTCTCGGTCTCTAGTCTATAGCCTGTCCTAATGCCCTTACTTCTCTTTTAGACATGCCAATGTGATTTCTATATATTCTTCACTATAGGCTCTAGAACTACAAATATACATTGAGTGACAACCAAAATGTGACACTTTAATGCATTTCAGTAGAATAGTCCTGCAATAAATACTATCTACGCATGGTGCCATTGCTATGGTCCATATCATACATAATAAGGCTGTATCGTGCCTTTCAATTAAGTCCATACAGTAACTGTGTTTACATTCTTTCATTTACATGAAATGAAGGATGTGTGATCATCATCGAAGTGACTACTGCTGTAACCTTTATTACAGAACTCATAAAAAAGCCTTTACTGAACTGTTGGCATATATTTACAAAGAGAC